TCACTAACACTCATGGCCATCATCTCGACCCTAACCCCACTTCCCTTATTTTCTCAGATCGCAAACTTCTCATGACACAATGAAGATACGAACAAACATATTGACAGCTCGTTGCCATTTAGCGAAATGTTTAAATAAAAATTTGCATTCATTTAGCGGGAATGATTTCGCTGTCAGAAGGAAGTTTTCCTTTGTCAGTGCTGACAGCTTGGCTGGTTTAAAGCTATTTGGTGAGCTAAAAATATTATAGGTATGTTCAAAACTTCTTGAGTTAAGACAACCTACTTAGTTTAGTATTAAAAATTTAACACAGAATACACCTACATAAGTATAAAATTAAAAATTATGTGCTTTTAAAAAATAAATTAGAGTACTCTATAAGTATGTAGTGGTTTAGTAAAGCTTAATACCTTTTCTTAAAAGACTCATATCCGTATATAAATTCAGAGATTCTAAAATATTATAACAGCTATTTTTTCATTGTAAATTTTTAATTTTATCTTTATATTGTAACTTTTAGCTCTTTGGATAGACTTTCCACGCATCTCTGCTCGTCACCCTCTAAAAAAATATCAAACTGCCATTGGCGCCAATCAGCAACACGTCAAAAGTAACGGGCTCTTGAAGACACTTACCAACTCCGTGAAACTCCGCGCAACATATGTTCCAGTCAACTTCCTTTGCGAATTTTCAAAAATTGCAAATGCCGCGACGAACACAATAGCTGGGGAGGATTCTTTTTTTTGATTCCGTGGGTGAAAGTGTCCTGGCGTGACAGAAATGATTTGGGCGTTGATGTCATCAGCATCAGCATCAAAATTTAGACGTTGCGATTGTAAAAATTAATGATGTTTTGCCGCTAAATAGTTGGGCTGGGAATCAGGGCACATGTGTGACTGAGTGACTTCCTGGGAAAAAAGAGGACTTTCCATATCCGTTTGCAATTTTTAAGCCCTGTGCAAAGTGTTTTCGTTGGCTTTTCTTTGGGTTTTACTGAGGTTTTCCCTTTTCCGTCGCTGGCGCGTAAATTGACACGACTTTGCTTTCTTTTCCCCCATTTTTTCCTTTCTGCCTCGTTATGCTAATGTCTTTGGGCCGTAAAAAAGAGTTTTGATTAATGATGCCACTGGATGATGCAAAGTCGTCGCAGCTGGCCCACCTATATAGAATTGTTATTAAAAAATATGGTGAAGCCCAGTTGAAAACTCTCCACTTACATTCCGCTTCTTGTTTTCTGTTTTTCATTTTTTTAAGGGGTAACTTCATATCAGGTTAGCCTCAAGTTACGCTACTTTACTCTTTCAATATTTAATCAATGCTGAGAGCAAACAATCAACCAACCAACCAACAACGATGGGAAACCGAACCTTAATCAAAAAATCAAACAATTGACATTCAATATGGTCTAATTTTTTACGCTGCCATTAAACAAATTATTGGGGAAGTTCGACGGGAGATGAAAAACCCGAAACGAGTCTGGCAGGCCATTTCCCCAGAGACCTGGGGAACATATCAATAAACCAAACAACGGCCAGGACAAACAATGCCAAGTGAAGAGGAGGCAAAGAAAACTGAGCCCTAGATGGGTAATTGAAAAATGCGAATGAAACTCTATATAGAGCACAAGCCATCTTGTAATTGGGGTCCACCGATGCTGAGCACGACTGTACTGGGGAACGAGGTCAGAGGTCAGACTGTACCTGCCGCTGACAGGAGTACAAAAAGCGACAATAATTGCGCTAAATTTGGTGTAAAATGAGGCGGAATCGCTGGGAAATTTCCGAAAAATTCTATGCAAGATTCACGCATAATTAAGTGCACTCAAAAGGTGGCCCACAATACACTCTTCCTTTGGGCACTCGAAAAAATTCTTATTCAATGCAACCTAAAAATTGTTCACCAAAGTTAAAGCCTGCAAACAAATCGAATTTTAATAAAATGTAATTATATAAAAATGGAAAAATGTATTAGAATTAACTGAAACCACTCAAATCATTGCATAATTTAGGTTACCTTTTTTACTGATTTAAAACATAGTCATTTTGTGAAGAACTTAAAAAATGAATAAATACTTACAATTAGAAAACCAGTTAATTGTATTTAAATTGTACAATAATTTTGTTCAGTGCAGCTTCCAGCTAAGCAGTACCAAAAAACCATACCAGAACAGGACAAGATTCACATTTACATAATGCTCTTTAGAGGGCAGAGGATTATGTGTGGCACTTGAGTGCCGCAAATTAATTCAAATGAAATGCGTCCAGAACTTAATCCTCTGGTCCATTGTTGTCCTGGATGTCCTGGATATCCTGGATGCCAGTCCACCAGCCCCTTTTCAGTACGACTAATTTGGTGCAATTGCGACACCTAGGAATGCTTTCTCTTCTTTGATTTGCGCTAATCGCAAAAGTGTCAGCGACCAGGAGAACTTGATGTTTGCCTCGTTTCCGCGTTTAATCACCCCTGGAAAAGGACCTTTGTTCGGCGGCTGAGAGACCCTGAGAGACCCAGATCCCGAGGTGACAGAAATCAGAGCAAAACTAATTTCCCGTTAATGAGGGTCGTCGTCCAATTTTCCTTATTTTCTTGGTTTCCTTTTTTTTTGTCCGTGATTAAGAATTTTTCCCACTTACCCACACATGCGCCTCATTAATAATTTTTTCGCCACTCGCTGCCAGGATCGAGATTAATTTACGCCTCGAAAGGATCTGACGTGTGCCTGTCAGTCGGAAATGTCTCTCTTTTTCGGACCAGCGCCCTCTTTTATCTTCGTAATAATATTAGGATATGGATGGAGAGGTCCTGACTGCGTATTCCTTATTTTGGGGAAGGAGCTGCGTGAGGCGTCAAATTGTTATTAATTGAAAGTCAAAAGTTTGCTGCGCGGTGCCAGTTTTAATTGGATTGTTCGCTTATCTATGCGAGAATTAATTAATGAAAAATCAGCAGAGGAATGAATGGAAATCTGTTCAATACAATGAGGTTAGTAATTTATATTTGGGCGTTGGAACCCTATTTTTTATACGAAAATATAAGACATTATGAATTCAAGGGCTCAATTGGTTCAATGGGATTCTTAAAAATAATAAATACATTTAAAACTATTATATTATATCTCGTATTAATATATATATATTTTTTTTTATATGATAACTAGTTCAGAGCTATGGACAATTAGATTTAAATGTTTAGGACACCGTTTTTTTTGCTTTTTGGCATTTTAATTTCCTACAATTAATTCCATTCCCCACAATATTCATACGTGAAACTCTTTTGTCAGTCAACTCGCATTTTTAGTGTTTTCCGCCCATCATTGGTATTCCTAATAAAAAATCTGAGCCCATGAGGTCATCTAGTGGTGACGCATTGATTGTGAACCGAACACCTCCCATAGGCATTCATATTCATATTCCCGAGTGGAATTTTTGGCACTGCGTCCTATCTATCTGTGCTCACGCGATCTGATCTCAAGGATCTCATTGGAAGGCAGTCGCCTGGAAGCTGACAACAATTGAATTGATTTTATTGCCCCGGGAAAGTTATGCGCTGACAGGACTTTGGTTCAATGGATGGGCATAATGTCTCGGGTTCAGATACACACAATAAAAAAACAGCACAATAGAAAATGGAGATATGCAAGCAGCAAAGCGAGATTAAAATGCGCCACCTACCGGCGGTATACAGATTTAAGCGTTATGGGCGTTAGAGTGGGCGTGGCAAATTTTTTTTGAGTCAATCGATAGGTAATGACGAGACGAATACATTTCAGTTAAAATTTTTTATCTAGCATAAAAATTGTGGGCGTCACAGGTTTTCGCGGTTTGTGGGCGTTAAAGTGGGCGTGGCAAACTTTTTTTTAGGTCAATCGATAGGTATTGATGAGAACATTACATTTCAGTTAAAATTTTTATTCTAGCATCAAAACTGTAGGAGCCACAGTTTTGGGCGGTTTGTGGGCGTTAGAGTGGGCGTGGCAGTCTACTGAAACAAACTTGCGCTGCGTAAGAAGCTCAGGAATCTGCACGCCAAATCTCAATAGCCTAGCTTTCATAGTTTCCGAGATCTCAGCGTTCATCCGGACAGACGGACAGACGGACAGACGGACAGACGGACATGGCTAGATCGACTTCGCCTGTGTCAGTCGATTGCCAAACGAATCTTATTTTTCTATTTTCTGTGTGTTGCATTTCATTTCGTTTGTCCTAAAAAGGCACCCAAAAGCCCGGCCATTGTTGTTAGACTGTTTATTAAATTGTTGGTCCAAAAGGGGTGAGATATTTATTCCAGCAGAGGGGGTCAAAATCCGGATCCACCTTTGTTTATCGTCAAGCTGACAATAAATCTTGGCCATGCCAGGGAATCCGGTTGCGTATGTGTAATTCCCGAGCTGACATTTTCCATGAACACTCGACTACTCACTGCACATTTATTTTCGCCATAGACAAAGGATACGGACTAGAAGGCAAGGGTTCGGGGAAAATATTTCATAAATTGAATTGTTTTGCATTGTTGTCGCCCGAAGAGCCCTGCTCTTATTTCGCATTGCCTGACAAACCAAATAAAAAGCATCCAATATGAGTTCTCGAGGGCAGACATGTGTGCACATATATGTTTTTGTGTATCTTGTGATTTATAACGCGCTTAGAATGCTAAAAAGACATACAGCCGGAAAGACTTTCTGATTTATAATGAAATGTAACTAACAAAGTGAAAAATTTGGTTTGGATAGTTTAAAATACAGTTTTTTACTACTTTATAAAAAAACATTTACAAAATTATTGAAAATATTACTTTAAACATACAATTCCAGTATACCTGAAACTTTATAATAAGGTAGTATTTTTAGAAAATGGTATTTAAAAACCAAACCAACTTAAGGCGCTAGAAAACATATCCTGAAAAGTGAAAATGATCGGAGATCAAAGAGTAATCCCAAATAAATGGATTGTTTTTACAGTTTAGTCCTTTTACGACAAATAATAAAATAACAACAATTTACCATTATATATAGTTTTATAAATTTTTTAGAAACTTATAGAGTTCATTTTGGCCTAATCATCATTTGAGTAAAAGCAAGATTATTATATCCGTCAAAGCCTTCCCAACAAATGGTACGGGTTGATCCTCTTATGTATTTTCCATTAAGCTTACTGTGATTAAAATATATGTTAGTTTCGAATTAGTAATTAATTTCATATGAACCTATATACCTAAAGCTACAATTATTGTACCACCAGCCACCAGTGTGCCTTTTAGCGCAATTACACCTGGATTTGTCATTGTCGCTATCAAACGTGGAGAACTTCATTCCTTCGTGGTATCTCAAAGAATCCCAAGCTGTCCCAGAAAATTTTCCCAGTGATTTTAGCTCATAGAGTTCCTGCTCGCTTCCGATTTGAAAGTTATCATAGTGAGCGTAAGCAGATTCTCCATTAAATTTCGCTAGCTTTATGTACAGTTCGTGGGGCTTATCCTTAGTCATCTGGTGCAGCTTCTCCAATCCGATGAACAGCTCTCCAGTTAGGTTTCCAAACCCGTTCTTATAGTTCACCCAGCTTAGATTGAAGTCCACGGATCCATCCTGACGCCTTTGAATGGTCATCCAACCAGTCGAATTGCATGGAGCTTCAAATACATCTATTCCGGGTTTAATTATTTTGTAGATTCCATCTGGGCGGCCGGTGGGGCAACTTTCCCATCCACGGCACAAAGAAAGTTCATCGATCAAATTGGTTATTTTTCCCAAATCAGATTTAGTCTGATGGTTCAGGCCAACGATTTCATTATTTTTGGTAGAAATCTGTGCACTAAGGTTCACTAGCTGCTTATCTTTTGTATTAATCTCTTCCCCTATATTCTTAATTTGTTCACTTTTGTCCATAATATCTTTTTCTTATAATAGTAATTGACCGTCTTTGCTCTTGAGTTCGTTAGATTTATCATTGATTTCTTTATTTTTAAGGCTCACAAGCTCATCCTTGAGTTTAATTTGTTCCTCCGAATTTTCTAACTGTTTCTGCAATTTTTTTATAGTTTCTGCCATGGAATTCACTTTGTCACTTTGTTCAACGATTTGCTTGTCCTTTAAATTTATAAGATCGTTCTTGCTTTTAAGACTTTCAGTTATATCTACCGTTTCTTTAACTTTTAAATTTATTAGTTCTTTGTTATGAGTTTGACAATCAGCAATTACTAACTGACTTTGCCTGTTGCTATTATCTTTAATCTTGAGTTCTCCGGTTTTTTCCTTGAGAAGATCATCTCTGTACTTGATTTGTTCTTTTGCAATTTGCAACTCACTATGAAGATTTTCAATAGTTCCTTTCAATGAAATCACTTGTTCCTTTAATTCATCAGTAAAAATACTCTCCGCTTGCAGCTTTACAGCATTATCAAGGATGGGCTTAAGGATCGAAAAGCAGTAGCCGTTGCATTTGCTTTCCAGTGGTTTAATTTTAGATGGGAATACCTGAACTCCATTGTCACCGTTAACAGGATATAGACGTTCCAGGATTGAAATTACCAGAAAAAGCACTAGGACGATCGATTTCATTTTGGATAACGCGAACTTCGGCTAACACCGTCGACTGGGAACTGAACAGAACTGTGATATATGGATGCACTCATGTTTATATTGCCTCGGTGTAAAAATGTATTTGAGCTTTCTTCCTCTCGATTAAATTTAAAAAGCAATACAGCTAAGCACACAATTCATATGTATCGATAAGAGTGTTCCACGACCGAATATATACAACATTTGTTTTCGAAACGAATTGTTATATGGGCCCTTATCTGCCACACATAATCACGGCTTGATCGAGTGCGCCGGTTTCGCTGAATCCATTTTAAGTTTTTTTTTGGGAATTAAAAAAAATATATATTCTTATACATAAAACGAACGTTAAAGAAATAATGTTGTTATTTAGCATGACACACAATACAATAATTACTCGACGATTTATCTGGAAATATTTAATAATATTTCTTGCTTTGAGGATTCATAAATTATGCCCCTTAGTATACTAAATTCCTATTTTTAAGTAGTTAGTTATATACGAATATTTGATTTATATTTCAGCCCAAAATAAAACCGTACCCTTTAGATACATCTTGGATCATTAACATCCATAATAACAAAGAGGATTAAAGAGCTGAGTGTATTTTACAGGAAATAGTCTGACATCGTTAGCTGTCTGGGAAATACTATAACAATATACCTCACACCGATTATGGCATTTTAAATATGATAAATTGTCGCACAGAGCTCTGAAATGAAATTGCAAGAAAGTGAAACCGCAGTTTATTTTGTGGAACGGATAAGATGGGTGGAGAAGTACCGCACCATTGCTAACTGCTTCTGACACCTTAAAAGGCGAATTGAATTTAAATTTGTTGATTATGCTCGGGTAGTGCGAATAATGGTTATATTGAGCCATAAAAGAAATTAAGTCAAACATTATTCTTGGCTGAGCACTCGATAGCACCCCATCTGTGTGCAATATATTTTAAAACAACTTTCACCACCTTTGAACTGGGTGGGCAAATATTATTGATACATCGGCGGCTTCTCAATGGCTTGTAAACGATTTCTGGAGAGGATTTCGGTTTTCAAGGGGCAATCCAAGCGGGGGGCCACATACTTATTCCACTTACTCCGCAGCTACAACGCATATTACACTTTTTGGCAACAGATTTTTGAGTGCTGTTCGAGGGGCTTACGCATGATTTTCCGGGATTTGCCTTATGAAATTTTCAAATTTTACAATCTGCGCAACGGGAGGGCCGACTGAGGAAATTACACCACGAGTCTACTTCTTTTCTATGTAATTTCAAAATGATTATTACTGCGAGGGGGTGGCGGAAATCAATGCATAAATTACAAAATACAGCCGGCAGACAAAAGCTGATCTTTATTGTTATTCAAATTCAAATCATTTGGCAGCTGCCGCGGCTCCATCGCCGTCGTCATTTGAAGTTGGATTTTGGACTTCAGAGTTCTGCGGCGCCGAGAACGGTGATAATGATTGACTGGCAGACAATCCCGGTCTAATCTGTCAATAATTCAGACCATGTGCTCTGGCTTTTAGCGCTTTCGAGCCCGAGGCGTCGAATTGGCCGCCCAAGCTGTCGATTTCCCAGGCGAGTTGGCCTAATCCGATGGGGATGCCGTGTAATTAGGCCGCCGCGACATCGGAAGTGCCTTTAAAATTGATTCGGATGCGGTTTTTAAACTTCAGCTTCAGGCAGTTTTATTGGAAAAATACACCCATGAAAAATATTGAAAATATTGTGTCCTCGAAAGATTTACTACAAAATGCTTTAACAGCTTTTATTCAGATTTCATATAGTTCTGCATTTTCTGAAACATTACTTATTGAAACTGAAACATAATTTTATTGTAATTTATTGTAACATTGTTGGCATCAAATAAATATTCTTTTAATCAAACTAATACTAGTTGATGCCAAAAAGAATATTTCAACTTAGTATATGATTTTGGTTTCAAGTAAAAATGTAAAAAGAGTTATGTTTAGGTAAGCAGTAGTTCAAACTGATACTGAAGTTTTAAATAGTTTAAACTAAATTTAATATTTACTCAATGTTGAAAAACTCATTAATTTTAAATGACTATTTTTTCATAATATTCATTTGGTGCCTCACAGATATTCCAATTTAATTACCCCCACTCCGAGTGTTTTTCTTTCGCGAAACCTGTGAATCATTTCCACAAGGAGCTCCGATAATTTAATGCAAACTTTGCGGTCACGTGGCGCGACCTCCGCTCTCATGTAAGTAAATCAAAGCAAATTACCAGCCGAACACACAAAATGCGAAACACAAAACATAACACACAGCACACATGGGCCAAGGGCAACTCCCACCCACTTCAAACATTTCGGAACCCAGAGACCCCGCCCTGAAAAAGGTCCGCAAGTGTTTTGACATTTAAACGCGTTTTGTGCCCGAAATGACCACCAACAAGAGGTGGACCCGGAGCACAAGGTCGATGGCCCAAGGGAGCCCTTACACTTGTGCCCTGATCCCGAGAATCCCGGGAAAACTGTGGGAAAACGGGAAAAGCCCAGCCCACCCTGGGAAAATGTAATCAACCCATAGAAACCATAAGCATAGACACATATGCACATGTAAATTTCGGGGATGTAAGCTAGTTTATTTCTATAGGTGATTGTAAATAAATAAGTGTTTATAATTAAGCAGGTTGTCCTGGGAGAATCCTTTGGGGGACTTTCAAAGCTCATCCTCTGGCGGTGGCTGCCACATTGGCGGCTTGTTGCGCAATCCCCAGACCTTGGATTGTGGCATCTCGAGTGTGCTGGCCAATGCGCTCCTTTAAAAACCAATTCAAGATATATATTATAATATGTAATTATTTTTAATTTATTTTTAAATACTTACAATTCTCTTGCCCAATTTCTTCAGCCAACCGGCTTCAGATTGCCCAAAACTAATCGCCAGGACGAGGGCCACGAACACGAAGATCTTGTTGAAGTTCATAGTGAGATATCTGGATATAATTCCTTGATTTTAGAAAAGCTATTTAGCTGTGGTTATAGCTGTTTCTGTGGGAACTGAGCGACTGATGATGGAACTGTGGCACAGGCACCTTTTATTGCGAAGACAGCGATTCTGATAAGGTGACGCCAGGGGATTTTTTCACCGCGAAAAGAGCGAGACTGCAAGTGGATCCCCTTCTTTATGGGGGACCTAAATTATATGTTTGTCCAGCTGCTAATAAAAATAGAGCTTTCCTAGGGCTGAAGTTATGAAATTTAGCTATCATATATACAAGCAGACAACGAATGTAGACGCTTTTAAACTAAAATTGAATATACTATTTATCATTTTTGGTTAAGATTTATCAAGTAGTAGAAATTTTGATTAATAATCATTTTTTGACATACTTACCTGGTGAATATTTGCAATTTAGCTACTGTTTCTCGCAAACGCTGTTTAACCTATGAATCTTTAAAACTTTATGGAGTAGGTGTAATATGGAAGTTAAAATTAGCATTGAATATTATTTATCAACTTAGTTTGTTAATATTTTACTTTACTTGTATAATAACTAATGTGTACAAATGTTAATTTACAAGCCGAAACGCTGGATTAATTCACCATAAACACACTCACGCAACTGTACTTGGTTTTTAAGAGGGGGATGGCCCGGGATTTAGGCCTTTTCACATTGGCACATAATATCAACCACCACGAAAATGTAACTTTAATTTCAACCATAAAAAACCAACAAGGAGGGGCAGACAATAGACTCGCAGCAAAGACAACAAATGAATTAAATCAGCAAGGGAGGATAGAAAGATATATGTATTTTATGGGGTGGAGAGGTGACTAAGAGTAGAGCATCTCGAATAGGAAGCTCCGAGGATGATGGGCGCCCTGTCAGGATATGCCACTAATTTCCTTAACAAGTAAAAACGCTTTATCCATCTTGGGCCTTGACTCCGCTTCCTTTCCGAACTCGATGTTGCTCCTTTCCGGTTCCATGGCCTCTGCGAAATGTAAATAAAATCGCTCGAATTAACCGCTGAGTGACAGCTACAAGTGGCAGACGGAGACACAAAGGAGGGAGCCGGCAGTCCTGTGTCATAACCGCCAGGACCAAGTCCTCATCCTCATCCTCATCCTGTGGAGCATCCAGAGTTGGTAGAGCCCACAGCAGCGGAAGTAAGTCAGTAAATGCCGCAACTGGTACCGAAGGATGGCTCAACTAATCAAACTGGAGGAAGGCATTCAGATGACAGGAGACTTAAATGACATTAAGGTGAGGAAAAAGGTTTAGGAGGTGAGTACTACTGATTCTGGACGGGAATTTATAGAGAAGATGGAAATAAACTTGTTGTTTAATAAAATATCTTTCTTTCTAAAACACAAACGTCTGAGATTATATTATTTTTATCCTAGCCTACCTACCTTGTATACCTAAAATAATACCTTAACAGGTTATACATACAAACACTATAAGAAATACTATAGAACAAATATATGCTAGTAACCCCTATCTTGTTGTACACTATTATATTTATATTTACTATATATTTAATAATATATTAAAAACCCAGAATAACCAAAGCAACGCAAATGACTCAGCGATCTTCAACGACCCTATAAGCAGGCTTCCCCGAGCTCTAAATTCCCGTTCCCCCTGGCAAAGATTAGCAGTCCACCTGGAGACAATGGCTGTGTCAATGTTTGAGCATCTTGGCCTTGCCTCTTCGATAGGGAAATAATCAGCAGATGCCGTCGGGGGAACTTTTTTCCTGGGATTCCCATTGAGAAAGACAGCGGAACTTGAATTGACAAACGAGAGACTTGCTGATAAAGAACAACGACAATATAGCCAGAAGAAAGGCAAGAACCAGCTCAATTACGGGAGCGCCCCTCACCTTCAAGACTGATCAGTGATCACTCACTTGAATCATAATACTGAAGCGTCATAAAGTATCGGATCCATTTGGTTATGGGAACCCTTCACTGAGCTCTGAGCTCTCTGTGCTTTTTGGGGACAGAGAAATCACCCGCGTGCAATTCCATTCATAAAACTCAGTCATAGTAAAAAATCTGTTACCCATTACTAGGGGTATTTACTCGGGGCATATTATTTGCATATAATATATAGAAGGGTAATAACAAGTTAATTAAGTAGAGATAAAACAGGGGTCTTTACTCAAAGAAGACATTCTTCTAACAGTCATCCAGCATCTCAAAGTTCTGTTGTATCTAAACATCTGTTGACTAACATTCCGCCCAGTCATCAATTAAGTCTAGTTCGAGGTATCTCGTATGTGTCAGTAGATCGTTCCAACCGATTCTACGATCGTTCAACCCATTGAGTAATCGTCAGTTGTTGTTTTGTTTAGTTTTTTTTAAGTTCTGTTGTGGGGAAGCCAATGAAACGTGCTTGCTGATTAATCCATTTTGCTCGACGCCCGAATGTTTGGCGTTATTTCCCGTACTTTTTCTATAAGTCAGTTTTTTGCTTTCATTCAAACTGTTTGTAACCACAACTAATGGAATTTATTATGTTTTGAGTGGGCAAAAAAGGAGTGTTTATTCAAATTTGTGGTAGAGATAATTTAAAAAGTTATGTGGATACAGGGGATTTCTTATGATCAGGAAATAGCAAAGAGAAAGAAACACAGTTGCTATGCAGCGAGACTACACGAATTCAGTAGGTAACATTCTCTATGGAGGAACTTAATGGTTTTTGAGTGCAACTTTATTCATAGCTCATTCCTGAAACATAAAAGAGCGTGTTGTTGAACCTACTGATAAGCCATTGCACTGTGATTACTGGACCTTAAGTATGAAAGAGTTATAGCGAAAGACTCAAGAGAGCATCACCATCAAGTGATGCTAATATGGTAGAAAAGGGAATTTTTTCTGGAAAAAAATGCATATAGAACAAATAAATGTGCAGGCTTGTCTTTTGGAAAGTACACTTTCTGTTAATGGAGACAGGAACTATGCAATCCCTGGAAGTTTAAACAAATTAAATATTTTATATTGCACATAGTAAATACCACCATCACAGTTTCCTAGCAAGAACAACACTAGGGATTATATAAAGCACAAAATTAAAACTGAGTTACAAAACAGACGTTGAAGTTGTTCTCATTTATACAGACACCAACTGAAAGGAACTTAGTATTAAACTCCCCGTACCACGGAGCAGACGTGTAAAGTAGTGTATGATAAAAAGGCTTTAAAATTAAATTTTAAACTACTCTTTAAATTTATAATTAGGTAATTAATAATGAAACACAATTTATAATCGATCCCCAATTCTTGAATATCTCTTCAGAGAGTCCGATCTGAGTCCATCTTATGAACTTTTGTCGCGATAAAAAAAATCCCCGTCTGTGCAGCAAGAGCATCTCTTATTTTCGCTATATAAGCTCAATCTCTTCGGTTTCCAGTCATCAGTCTTTAAGTTATCACTGCAACAACAGCTTTCTTTTAGTCCGGTAATAAAGCAACAGTCTCATCATGAACTTCAACAAGATCTTCGTCTTTGTGGCCCTCATCTTGGTGATCAGTTTGGGAAATTCTGAAGCTGGCTGGCTTAGGAAGCTGGGAAAGAAAATCGTAAGTATACCACTTGAAATTAGGATTCAAATATTCATTTGGTTATTTCTATAGGAACGCATTGGCCAACACACTCGGGATGCCACCATTCAGGTCATCGGAATCGCTCAACAAGCCGCCAATGTGGCAGCCACAGCTCGAGGTTGAAAGCGAATCTCGAAAACACTCTTCACGCCTCTTAGACTGCCTTTTAATCTAATTTATATTATAACTTAAAAAAAAATTAAAATATCCAAAATGAGTTCTTATGTCAATGTCAAGAAAAACATACATATTTAAACAAATATAAATAAAATACTAATAAGCACGTATGGAAATTGTATGTACACAAGTTTAAATGCTGATAACGTCTTCATCTGCCGATACATTTCTTTGTATATTGTATTCAATCAGATTTGGTAATTATTTCAGGTCTATCGCAATTAAACACGTGACAGGGTATTATAAAAATAAAGCGCAAAAGTTTCGGAATTTCCCATCTTATTCCTTATTTTATAGAAATAAACAGTTTAAAGAAAGTTTACATACCAAACCATTATACGACTTGGAAATACCTTAGAATCCTTATAAATATTATTTCTCTTTTTCCATTCTTTGGAAACTTGGAGTTAATAAATATTTTTCTAAAACAAGTTTTGAATCTTTTCCGAAGGATATAATTGTTTATTTGTCATATTGGTTTGGTAAGTTTTAAATAAATAAATAAGGTTTTAGTAAAAGTGTTGAGGAATGCATTTTATCCTCTAGCGGTGGCAGCAACATTGGCGGCCTGTTGTGCGACTCCCAGACCCTGGATTGTGGCATCTCGAGTGTGCTGGCCAACACGTTCCTGTGAAAAAATCAGGATAAGTCTTAAATAAAATATTTGAAAAAAAGGACTTACAATTTTCTTGCCAATTTTCTTCAGCCAGCCTGCCTCCGATTGGCCCAAACTGATGGCCAGGATGAGGGCCACAAAAACGAAGATCTGGTTGAAGTTCATGGTGATTTTATTTGACTTTAAGGACAAGGTAAAATAACTTTTGCTCCTGATAGTGCTGTTCCAGTGAGAACTGAGTAACTGATGATGCACAATGGATGCCATGAGCTTTTATAGGAAAATCAGTCGAGAAGTCGGTTCCTGATAAGAAGGGGATTTTTACAACGGAAAAAGTACACGAGAGGGAATCCAATCCGATCGCAATCATTTTGGGGAACTGATTTACAGAGTCTAAATCAATTTGGGGGATTTTAAGTTTTCTTTTGGTAGACCTAAATCGGGATTTATTGACATCTCAGATATATGTTGTAAATCTTTTAATACAAAAAAGAAAGTGGATAAAATGAATTTATAATGAATTTGGAAACCAAAATAATCAAAGATAATTTTAGAAAGCTTTTTCAATTAATATTTTGAATGTGTTTTCACCAATTTTTGTTTAGTAGGCTATATGTTTTTATTTTGGATACTTTAACAACATATTTAGTTTATCTTTTGCAATATCTTAGAAAAATAAAGTGAAAGAACTTCGAAATTAGCCTTTCTGACTGCCTCTGGCTGTTGCTGCGACATCGGCGGCTTTCTGTCCGACTTCGATAACCTGAAGCGTGGCGTTTTAATGTACAGCAATGTGCCCTCCTGCGGAAAGGATTATTAGTACTTAAAATAACCATTTGACGAAAAAAACTTACAGTTCTTTCTTTAATTTTGCGTAAAAAATTAGCTTCAGATTGACCCAAGCAAATCGCCATAGAAGGGCAGGAAAACGAAGAGCTTATTGAAATTCATTTTTTGAATGTCTTTCTGTTTAAAGAAGGCGTAGTTGCTAAATCTGAATGAATGTTAATATGAAAATAAAAGGCAAGGATTTTATAGGCGATCAGACGGCTTAAAAAGTCAAGATAAGTGAAAATCTTGGATTTTCCCAATTTAAAAGTAGACAAGAATCAAATTGTTTGGCGAGAGGTCGCAAACTGGTCTGAATATTATTTTTGGCGCCTGATGTCTGTGTTTATTTTAGAATGCTGATAGCAGATGCTCAAAGCTCCTGATAAGGTTGATAAGAAAACTTTTAGTTAGTAGGCTGTAAAAGTACAACTTTAAAACTTAGCAACTTAGCTATTTAAATTAATAAATGTTTTCTAAATAAATGGTATTCTTGACGATTGGATTTTTATTTACTTAGGTCAATACAATAAATAGTTTTTATATTTAAATATCAATAGTGGTTATCATCGTCGTTAACCTCGGGCAGTTGCTGCGACGTTGGCGGCCTGTTGAGCGATTCCCAGACCCTGGATGGTGGCATCTCGAGTGTGCTGGCCAACCGTTCCTGAAAAAGTATATCAATGTTTAGTATCCAATTAAAACTTCACAGCATATAGTACTTACAATTTTCTTGCCAATTTTCTTCAGCCAGCCAGCTCCGATTGGCCCAAACTGATGGCCAGGATGAGGGCGACGAAAACGAAGATCTGTTGAAGTTCATGGTGATTTGATTTCAATAAGGCAAAAGTGCTTTTCTTCTGATATTGCTTCTGCAGTGGGAACTGAGCGACTGATAATTGCAACAGAAAGGTTGAGAGCTTTTATAGGCGAATCAGTTTATAAGCCGCAGCCTGATAAGGCAAGCGGGGATTTTATTTGCGGAAAAAGTACACCGGAGGAATCCAACCCGATCGAAATCACTCTGAGCAACTGAACCGAAGAACCCAAATTGGATTCAGGGGGTTTTTTATTTTTGATTGATATGCTTGGCTCGAGGAGGGATTTACTTACCATTGGGATGTACCATTATATTGAAAGTTAGAGAAAAAGAAAGACATTCTTTTGGGGGTGCCACAGAAAGAGCTGGGTGCTGATCTGGTCTGAAACTTATATTGAAGCTTATGAGAGACCCACACACATTTCTGTGACACTCCCTTTGTTTTATAATCAATAAGGGATCAATTATTTTTAAGGATAGTAATTGGATATCAATTACTTGTGATTTAATTACTTAAACATTTTTGATCAAATACAAAAGTACAAAGAGAACAACTACATAAAATCTGTACAAATAAATTTATTGTAGCATCAGCTGATTTTTTATAATCAAGTGAGGCTGAGAAGGAGATCACTTGTAATTTTAATCCATTTAACTTATATGGCATAGTATATAATTTAGAAATATTATTCAACATATCTTATTTGTTACTCGTAAATTTATTTAATTGTTTTTTTGAGTATATGTTGCAATCCATTTAAAATTATAACCCTTAGCAGTAATTGAGACATTGGCTGCTTTGACGACGACCTCATCTGCCTGCATAGTTGCATTCAGGGCATACAACTCCCTCTGTTAAAAGAAATTTTATCTAGATCCAATAAAAACAAATCAAAGGAATAACAACTTTAAGAGTTTTGCCAAGATCATGTATCCGGGCTGCCTCCGGCTGTCCTATGTTAAAAGCAAGGATAAGGAAGTAAAAGCAAAGTTCTTTAAAGTTCATTTTTATTTGTTTTTATAACTACAGAATTCGCCTAATCTGTTTTAGTGGGCAATTAGCTACTGCTAATTGGAATTAAAAGTCAAGTCCCTTTATAGGGGAAAGACTACTACATTTAGAGACAACGCATAATGGTGGATTTTCCCAAGGAAATCAAATTTTTTGGGAAGGGTGAAAAACTTAGCATTATCATATGTTTTGCTCTTTGGCCTTTGACATTGTCTAAAATTTCAGACTGGATTAAAAAAAAAAATGATTTACTATATAAATTTAAATTTTTTTCTACTTGTCCATGTTTTTAACTTTTCAATACCTGTATATAATATTAAAAATAGAGCATGAACTTTTAATGCTTTCAATACTAATAAAATACAAGATGGGGTAATTTCTTTGATCTTTTATTTACTTAGAACAATAGAATAAATAATAATTGTAATTTAATTTCATAAGTGACAGACATTCATCGTAGTTAACCCCGAGCAGTTGCTGCGACATTGGCAGCTTGTTGGGCGATTCCCAGACCCTGGATGGTGGCATCTCGAGTATGTTGGCCAACGCGCTCCTATAAGCGAAGGGAAAAGAGTTAGTTTCCAAATAAAAGTATTACAAAATGAAGGTCTTACAATTTTCTTGCCAATTTTCTTCAGCCAGCCAGCATCCGATTGTCCCAACTGATGCCAAGATGAGGGCGACAAAAACGAAGATCTTGTTGAAGTTCATGACGAAGTTACTGGATTGTTTCTCGGTTAAAAGAAGTCGATAGTGGTTAATGCTGCTGAGAGGGATTTCAGTGACTGATGACTGGGATTCGAAGCCGTCGCTTTTATAGGCGAACAGATCGCAGAAAAGAGCTGCCGATAAGGTTCAAGGGGAATTTTAGCTTGGCGAAAAAGTACACAAGCCAGTTGGAATCAGATTGTATGGATTCAGATGCATATAATATACAAAGCAAAATAAATACAAACTGTGAGTCAGTAAAACCATTTACAACTATTTTATTTTATTTCCATTAGTTTTGTATTTTACATATATTTTTATTTCATTCATAAGTTTTAATAATAATAAAAGTAAGAAATAATATTTATTGCATTTTGGGGGAATCACAACCATATTTCACAAAAGACACTGAAGTCATATTTTAAAACACCGAAGCCAGAAAAGTTTAATAAATTAAAAAGGTTCTCAGTAAGCACGAACGATTTGAAAATATATTTTAAACGTTTATGCGATGCGAACGAGGGTACATCCAAAATTGATTTTTTTACATGTCCGATGCAAACTGATGGATAAAAAATTTTATTATTTTTAATAATTGGAAAATTGACATTTAGAGAAAGACTTGGCGGTTCATTTTTTTTTAATGGAAAGATTTTAGGTTTAGTTAATATCTTTACCTTACGTGAACTACATTTTTTATGACTAAAGAGAACCAATTATAATTTAAATTCTTGAAGGGCACGTACGAACCACAAAATATTTATAAAATTTTTTCAGCTTACTGCAACAGGTATGTTTGTAAACCTTAATTTAAAAATTTTTAAAATGGCTTATGGACAAATTAATCACTAATTTAACTTCGCATATTTGGTGGGAATTTTAAAGTCAGGTTTAAAAACTGAAATTAAAAATCAAATAAAATGTGATCTAGTTTCTCAAAGATTAATTTGAACAATACATTTATTGGAAATCATCAAGTTATTACATACATTAGAGTCCTGGCTTCATCCGTGCTGGTAAGGACTTGTTCGACGGGCTTAGCCAGATGCAAACCAATTCTTGCAATTTTGTGCAGTATTTCCTCCTATAAGAATAGAAATACTTCTATTTACTTCAGAGCAAAGTATCTATTGGGGAGGGAAATCAAACCAGTTGTTGAAGAGGTCCAATAAATATAGCCTCCAACTGTCCCAAAATGGCCAAAATGAGGGCGACGACAATGAAGATCGAAAAGTAATTCATAGTAATATGGCTGGGTTTTCCAAAAGTGAATTTTGTGGACTAATGTGCCTTGTGTGACTAAAACCTAAGTATTAAAAGGCAACAGTTTTTATAAGCAAACAAACGTGAAAAACGTTTCCAATCATAAGTTTGCCTAATAAATTATAAATGTGACATTTTAAAATGGTTTATGAATACAAACTTTGTTATACATTTTAATGTACTTGCAATCGTTTTATGCATGAGCATATTTCTTCACAGAAAATAGATAATCAATGTAAATTTTTTCATGGAAAAACTATAACACATCCGCACGAATTTTCAGCAATATAATAATAATAATTACCAAGAAAAAGTCTTACCATTGGCTATTTATTTATTACATTTTGCTTCTTCATTTAGAAATTACTGTTTTGAAGAAAGTGTTTTTTATTGTGCTTTTCTCTGTATTTTCTTAAAATAATAATTGCAAGCGTGGGCTAAAATTGAAAGTCTATAAACATAATGTTAGGTACGCACAATTTATTTACTTCGACCAATAAATTTCTTGGAAATTATAGGTTATCACAGAAGAACCTTGTTGTCGTTAGTGGCCTCTAAGAATATTACCGATGGGATTAACAAGTGCGAATCCCAATTGTGCGGCGTTGTGGGCTAGTTCCTCCTGTTAAAATAGTCATTTATTACTTGGAACATAATAACTTGGAAAGGGACAACCAACCAGTTTTGTAAAAATATCAACGAGAGAAGTACGCGCTTCTCCCTTGTGTATAATGGCCAAAATGAGGGCGACGACGATGAAGACCGAACAGTAATTCATATTTATACTTCTGAGTTTCCGAAAGTGGTTTTTCGAACGAATAACAACTGTGTTACTGATGACTTTGTCAGAAAAGGCTAAAGCTTTTATAGGCTTTAAAAGCCGAAAAACGTTGGCAATAATAAGTAGGTTCAATAACTATTAAACTTCAACTTTAAAACAAAATATATATAAATGAGACACTTACTAATATTTCTAAAAACATTTTCCCTAAAAGGTGTAAGCCAAAATGAGAACGACGACGATGAAGATTACATTGAAATTTATTACTATATTTCAGGGATTTTTAAAATTGTACTTTGCGGAATAACAGGAACTTGGTGAATTTGTCTAAGGGCACTGGTTTTTATAGGTAGAAAAACGTTGTCAATAATAAAAGGCTTAATATATTACAATAAGAAATCTTTCAAATCTTTCTTTGAACGGTACTTTTGTTGATAAGTAAAAAGTTGCAAAGGTATTTTATTATCCTTTCATAGCACCAGCGATGGGCTTAACAACTTCAAGTCCTTCTTTTGCCATCTTGTGCGCCAGTTCCTCCTGCAAAATCGAAAAATGTATAGTTACATAACCATCTTACTTTTTAAGAGAAGAGCTAACCATTTTTTGGAAAAAATCAATGAGAGGAGTCTCCTCCGATTGTCCCTGATGGCTGATAGCCAAAATGAGGACGACAACGATGAAGAACAGAATGCAATTCATATTTATATTTCAGATTTTCCGAAAGTTGTTTTTCAAGCCGATGAGAACTGTGCTACTGATGACTTAGTCAGAAAAGGCAAAAGCTTTTATAGGCTTAAAGATCCGAAATACGTTGGCAATAATAAGTGGGTTCAATAAATATTAAAACTTCAGCTTTAAAAAAATATATGCATATTTATGTGTTTGTACTTAACATTTTATTGGACGTGCGAAAATGTAACGTAGAAGCAGCCCTCTATGGTCAAAACTCAATCATTATTGACAAGAGGAATACAATAAAATGTATTTACATTTTAATATTTGGACGGGGGGTTTGTGGGCACGTTGATGAAATAAACTGCGAGCAGGAATCTCATGAATCTGCATGACCCAGTATTGTAGTTTTTAGTTCCGAGATCACAGCGTTTATAAGGACAGAAGGACATGGCTAGATCGACTCGGCTATTGGTCCTGATCAAGAAAATATACACTTTATGGGGTAGGAAACGCTTAATCTAGGAGTAATGGGTATAATTAATGTTAAGGAAACACAGAGTTTGAACGAAATCAATTTATTTGCTTTAAACAATACAGTTTAAACAAAACAGTAAGCCCGTCATTTGTGGTTTATAATAGCATTAGCAATGGTGTTACAACTTAAAATCCTTCGAAAACAGATATAGGTATGAATATTTACTCACTTACTAATATTTTCTAAGAAGAGACAACCAACCAATCCGTCCCCTATAATAATAAGAGCGACGGCCACGAAGACTACAAAGAACTTTATTACTATATTTCGTTGTCAATAATAAATAGGCTTAATATATTACAATAATAAATCTTTCAAAATATACATATATGTGATTTTACATTTTAAAAGACATGCAAACAGCTTATACTCAATAATTTTTGATGTGTGACAATTCCAATCACCATAAAAGATATAAAGACATGGAGTTGAAAGCTTAATGTAATTATATTATTAAAACGCTACATTTATTGAAAAGCAAGAAGTTATAAGGGTATGGACTTGTTTCATTATCCTTTCATAACAATAACAACGGGCTTAGCAAGTTCAAGTCCTTTTTTCATCATTTCGTGCGCTAGTTCCTCCTGCAAAATGGAAATTATATAGTTACTTCAGAACTTTTTTTTTTTAAGGAAGGACAAACCAGTTTTTGGAAAAAATCAATGAGAGGAGTCTCCGCCGATTGTCCTGATGGCTGATGGCCAAAATGAGGACAACGACGATGAGGATTGAATAGTAATTCATAATTATAATTCTGAGTTTTTCCAATACTGAGAACTGTAAAACTGAGGACTTGTCCAAAAGTCAACGGTTTTTATAGGAAATATAATTTAAAAAACCGTTGCCAATAATAAGTAGTCTTAATAAATATGAATGACTAAACTTAAAAATTATATGTGTACAGTCAAGCATCCATAACTTAAATGGTAAAATCTTTTATATTAAAAATGGTTCGATAACTACAATAACAGTAACTTATTGTAAATTATGCTGAAGGTGTTGTTTTTAAAATTGGTTAAGACTGGGGCATTTAAGCCAAATTATTATGATAAAGAAAAATTTTTATCTCCTTTTTTCCTTCTCTAACTCAGGTCTGTACGAGTATACAAATTTGTTAGCCTGTAGAGCTATTTTCGAGTTATGGAAGTTCGACTGTAAATTATGTTCTTGTTTGTACATTTAATGTGATTGCTACAATTTTATTCATGAGCATATTTTTTTCTGGGAATATCGACCAAACAATAATCAATAGAAAATTTTAAAATCACGTACGAGTTTCCAATGAAATATTTAATTTAACCCGAAGGCGAGCTAGCGCCCTCTGTGGGCCACATGCCGCAACAACAGCGGAGACACACACTGACAGACCATGGGCGCAAACCTTTGTTTTGAAAATACTAATATCGGTTCATGGAAATGGTACTAATACGGTATATTTCCGAATTAGGCTTCGTTTACACTAAGTCAAGTAATGCAGTTTAATAGTAAGGGTATTCCTGGTGAGTTCCGAACAAATTGACAATAAATCACAGCGGGTTTGGAAAATTGGTTCTTCTGTTTCAGATATTTTCTGTTACTAATAAATAATATATCTCATCAAAGAGTTAGATAACAGACCATTCATCAGTGTGTGTTCAGCTGATGACGCGGTGACATGGCTCAAGGCAAAAAGCTTTTTTTGTTTTTTTTTTTGTGCCTAAAACGCTGTGCCGCTGTTGACGTCAGCAGAGCAGTCGGCGCAGCGTAGAAGACTGCCCACGAAAACGATCGTGCAACAAAGAGAGGCAGATACTCGGATATTTCCCTCTCTTTCTTGTCTTATAATCTGCCTGCACTACGTGCTCGCAGAGACAAATTTCGGCCGGTCCGTTATTCCGAAGAGAAAACAAAAGAAATCAAGTAAAGGGGTGAGAAGACTTGGTGCATTCTGTTTGAGTGATTGAAAGGGAAGCATCCATGTTAATTGTGCGCAGCAGAGTTACTTTAGTCGTCTCTTTAAGTTAATATAATAAAGTCAGGTAAGTGCTACGTTAAGTTTTAGATGTTGTGCATTGATCTTAGTTTAAAGTACGTAAACTTTGAAGGTATTCAATGGGTTCCGTTAGCCGAAAGTGGATGACGAAATGTTTTGATCCAATAAAAATCCTGCAAAGGGTTAAACACAGCTATAAAAGGTAAATATACAATTAAACAAATAAAACGCATTTTTTAAACATATGTTTTTTCAGGAGCGTTGGCCAAGGATTCAGAGGACCCGGACAAAGGTTTAAGAACGGCGATGACTAACGTTTAAAATAAGTTTACGAAGCAAAAAAACAGAAACAATTATTGTAGAATTTTTGAAAATCTAAATAATACCATATAATTAAAATGAATTAAAATGAAATTAAATATGTATGTATTCTAAATTTTATATTTTTATAATTGAAAACTCAAGGAAAAATTCGGATTTTCCCAAGTGATTCACTTGGGACGTGTCCCTTGCAAGTGATTTCACAAGTGAAAACTCAAGGAAGAATTCTGATTTTCCCAAGTGATTCACTTGGGACGTGTCCCTTGCAAGTGATTTCACAAGTGAAAACTCAAGGAAAAATTCTGATTTTCCCAAGTGATTCACTTGGGACGTGTCACCGGCACGTGACAGGCATACATAGTTGTTCACATTTTAATGAATACCTTGTATGAATCATTTCTGGTATTTTTTTTGGTCTTAAAAAGTGGTGTGTGTTAGTATATTTTTTGCGATTAGACGGGGTATTTTATGGATTTTCGATATCACACTGACCGCGTGGTCCGACTTCCTTTTCCTGTCAAATAGTCGACAAAGGTGGTACTTTTTTTCTTTCGCCGCCGAAAATGGCCAAATTCCGCGCTAACCACAACGCAGCGCAGCGAAATATTGAAAGAAAACGTGCGAGGGCGGGGTTCTCCACAAAATCCAGTGAAATGCTGGCGGAATGCTCTCGATTTGTGGCTGTACTGCGTTGTGGAGAGGCGGCTTACACCAGCGATTTGTGTTTTTAACTAACTGAAACTGTAAATCCGGTGCTGAAAATTGCAGATGGCTATCGGCTCCAAGATTATCAAGCCCGGCGGCGCGGATCCCGATGATTTCGAGAAGTCCATCGCCCAGGCCCTGGTGGAACTCGAGGCCAACAGCGACCTGAAGCCCTACCTGCGGGATCTGCACATCACCCGTGCCCGCGAGATCGAGTTCGGCAGCAAGAAGGTATAACCTATATTGACATGCACACCCTATCAGAAGTACCTTTAACCGTGTTTTCCCCAGGCCGTCATCATCTACGTGCCCATTCCACAGCAGAAGGTGTTCCAGAAGATCCAGATCATCCTGGTCCGCGAGCTGGAGAAGAAGTTCTCGGGCAAGCACGTCGTCGTGATTGGCGAGCGCAAGATTCTGCCCAAGCCCACGCGCAAGGCCCGCAACCCCCTCAAGCAGAAGCGTCCCCGCTCCAGGACTCTGACCGCTGTGTACGACGCCATCCTTGAGGATCTGGTCTTCCCCGCCGAGATCGTGGGCAAGCGCATCCGCGTCAAGCTGGACGGCTCCCAGCTGGTCAAGGTGCACCTGGACAAGAACCAGCAGACCACCATCGAACACAAAGTGAGCTTTAGAACCAGAACTCTATAAGCAACGTGTGCATCGTGTGTTTTGAGGAGCGTACCCTCGATATTTGGGCTTCCTTTGCCATGGAGCCCAATCTTCGCCAGGGGACGCAGAACATTCAGGCCAATTACTCGTTATTGCAGGCATAAGAAGCCTCTGCGGTCCTGCATCTCCAAATATTGGCCACACTTTGGTCTGAAACAACGTTCTTGTGTTATTTGCTGGTAGTTATAGCCAAAGCCAGTGATTGTCAAACAGAACGTATAGCAAAAACCAGGCAGCTAATCACTCCATAATGTTGAGCCGACTTGCCAGGGCTTCTGCATTACTAAATGTATGCCACATTCTAACACCTTCAGTACTTGATATACGATCTACATAAGTTCAGATATTCAGCAGATGCATTTATAGGACCAACTCTACAAGGTTATCTACCGTTTTTGTGTTATTTGCTGGAAGTTATATCCAAAACCAGTGATTGTCAAACAGAACGTAGACTATAAACCAGGCAGCTACTCACTCCATAATGTTTATCCTACTTTAACCAGGGATTCTGCATTACTAAATGCTTGCTACATGCAAACCAAAATTAGGGAAATAATATTCTTATGTCCGTTTAGTTTTATTTGCTGGTTGCTTATTCAAAATCAGCGATTGTCAAACAGAACGCAGATCATATTCCAGGCAGCTACTCACTCCATAATGTTTATCCTACTCCAACAAGGGATTCTGCATTACTAAATGCTTGTCACATGCAGATATCTGAACCTATATTGATCCCACTCACCGTTCTTGTGTTATTTGCTGGATGTTTTTCTTAGTCCAGCGATCGTCAAACAGAACGCAAATCAAAGCAACTAATCACTCCATAATGATGGGCCTACTTTAACCAGGGCCTCCTCATTACTAAATGTTTGCTACAGTTTAGAACCTATAGGAACACTTGTCACAAACACCGTTCTTGTGTTATTTGCTAAGCGGCTACTCAAGCTCAGCGATTGTCAAACAGAACGCAAAGTAAAGGCAGCTAATCACTCCATAATGTTGAGCCGACTTTCCAGGGCTTCAGCATTACTAAATGCGCGCCACATTTTTGTCAACACTTATTTTTTGGAACTTTTCGAATTTAGTACCGTTCTTGTGTTATTTGCTGGACGTTTTCAAAGTCCAGCGATTGTCAAACAGAACGCAAACTAAAACGCAACTAATCACTCCATAATGATGCGTCTAAATTAGCCAGGACTACACCATTACTAAATCTTTGCTATATTACTATACTATTATTTTATTACTTGAAACCACACACGATGCACTACGACAGCCGCCTATTTGCCTCCCAAGCACCGTTTAGTTGCCTGGTGCCTTGGGACTTCCTATATAAGCGGAATATTAATCCAGCTTTCCGTACGACATCTTCGCTGCAGTTTTCCTGCTGCAGAGGAGGTCACGGCAGCTGTACACTATCACACATATCACCCTTAAGATCATGTCACTAATGTTTGTTTCTTCCCCTCCTTTAGGTCGACACCTTCACCTCGGTCTACAAGAAGCTGACTGGTCGCGATGTTACCTTCGAATTCCCCGACAACTACCTGAATGTCTAGAGCGGGTTCTCGTTAGAAAGTCGCATTGGTTCGCCGGTTCATCTGGAAAATCGCCGCTATTCTGTAGTGCAGAACATGAGTTTTTTACATGAGCTAGAGAACGTGAATAAAAATTAAACAATTTAAAACTAAGCAAACTTCCAATTAAGCCAACTCCACTCTGTTGTCCTGTAATTAATTAGCGCTAAAGGAAATTACGTATGGGTGTGTTTGATATGTAATCCTTTAGAACAACGTTACCCTGCTGGGATGTCACACAATTGATTAAGGGCAGCATTAAAAGACGTCATTATATGGAGGACTGGAGCTATGCTATACTTTTTATGACATGTGGTGTGTGCTCTACTGCTTAATTAAAGAGTTAACTACGTATGTTTATTTTAATAGATTCAAATTGTAGCTTTTCTCTGAAAGAGCAGCACGTGTGTCAAAAGGGGTTAGTCTTGTGGCGCTTCTCATTTGCGTGTGTTGTAATAATAGGTATTCCTTAATTTGGTTAAATTACACGCATTACGCTTTTGAATAATCACATGTGTGATTGGGGATGGTAAAAATGATGGGCTTGTGGATTTTCTGGGAATGATTAATTTCTACTGATCAGAAAGCTTTAATATGGAACACCCTATTTAAAGCTTTTTAACCGCTAAATTCTGGGTTCTAAAAACCATTTGTTATTAGGGTTGTCCTTAAGTTTTATTTTGTTTATTTTTCTATAAATTCGGACAAAAACTAGGCTAAGTTATCATGTTCTGTAAAATTGTAAAAGTTAATTACAGGCTAATGGTGGCTATTTAGTAATTGTTCCTTGTCGATACATTTTCCTTTGAACCCTTTCGTGTATTTCTATTTTATCATCAAATCAGTATAGTCATTGTTTTGACCATAAAGGCGTTGTTTAACCACAATGGTCTTGGTTTATTTATGGCTCTAGTGCACTCCTGCCCCATTTAAGCTGTCCAAGTCGATTGATTGCAGTTTTGAAATTCAATTAGAAGCGACCGCGAAATCACGCAATTCAACAATTCCGAAATGCTACACGACCTTATAGGCAAACAAAGGAACTACAAGCGATGAAATTAAAGATTGGGGTTAAAGTCACCGGACTGACAGGACATGAACATGAAAATGAACACGAATGGGGCTTTAAGTTGTGGAGTAGGGAAAATAGTTCTCGTAGAACTTTCGATTTCCGACAAATTGTTGATGTTGTGTTTGTGTTATTTTTTTAGGGGGTCTGTGGTGTCTGGGGAATTCCCGGTGGGATGTGGTGTTACAAGGGGCGTGGCCCTTGGGCGAGACAGGTGGTGCGATGACAAGTTGGTGGGATTTTTGGTGGAGGTGGCTCGCCGACTATCGGTGATTCTATCTAAATGACCCCGCCGGGTCATCTATTATTGATGTTGCCTAATTGTGCGCCATTCTAGACGAACAGTTATCATTAAGGGTGGTACTTTGCAGACGGGGTGGGTGGTTCTTTGTTCGACCTTGGACCCGCTAGTACGTAATGTCGTCTTGAGAAAGTCCGTTCCACGCCCCAATTAAAACGCAGCCCACACATTCGAGGGCAGTTTGTATGTAGATTTTATTTGACATGTGCTTGGCGGAAAATGTTTATGACAGTCGCAGTTCGGTTCCCACTATGTCCTGTCGAAGGGAAGGGGAATGAGAGACCCCCTCCAGGACTCGGCAGGCCCTTTGACATATTGTTATGTCATCCCTGACGATGGCGACGGATTTCTGAGTCACGCCGCGATTCCCAGTTTAAACAGCCGAGAATGGGAATCACAATCTGCAGTGAACAGGCGTTCAGGGAGCCGTTATACTATCAGTGGGTGACCAATCAGTTACTGGAGTAATAATCTATTATTATGTTTTGGGTTTTTTTATTTCCAAGGATTATTATTTCTTGATTAAGATTTAATTTTTTTTAAATATGTTTTTATTGCGTAATGAAAACTAAGTAGAAATATGATTAGTTTTTGGAATATGAACTCTTTTCTTTTCTTCGTTTGTTATTTGTTGTTTATTGATAAGATAATCTTTACGAATGTGCACTTAAATGCTGATTTAAATTTTGGACTAGCTAATTCTGAGTAACTAGCTTTTTGATATCAGAGCAATAATATACCACGAATACCTATCATTTTTAAAGTTAGTGCAAGCATTATCGCATGCACAGAAAAAAATGAGATGGTACATATTACATAAAATACCACCTCATCAAAAAATTTCAAATTGATTGCAAGAATTGATAAAATATTTTTAAACATTAAGCTACTATTTATAAACACAAAACATTTTTTTGGGGGGAAGATAAGTCTGTCGTAGGAAGTCTATCAGCTTGTCGGTTGATCGGCTTTGAGTTCTGGACTCCGTAGGGCCACTATAATATTTATAAGGGGCGGAATCGGAGGGGAATCTGCTGTGCGTCGATCCAACGAATCAGCATTGGCCAGACACTGGCTGATAAGCCCCGATAAACCAGCTGTATGGTTAGTAAATCAACTAGTGAGCGCCCCGTGAGAGCTCGTCTGATGATCGCACATGCATCGTCAAGAATTTCTTGCCTCGCTGATTTTCTATATTTATCCAGAGCTAGCGTTACATCATGCCACCCACTAAAGATTTTTAACGAAAGAAGGCAATAAATTATGAATATTCTTGGAGGGGTGGATTTTTGGGTGCTGTTTTTATGTATTAGTTTTTATGCTTGTCCAAGCCAAAGGAATTTAGATAGATGCAGCGATAACGTCAAAATTGGGTTTCCGGTTTTGGAACAGGCTTTCAAAAAAAGTTTATTTCCAGCACAAAACCCTATACAAGAGAGCTGATTTCTAATCTTCCTCTTTTCCTTTATTATCGGAAGACAAAACATGAAAATATGATAGACCTCTATCTATAAAAACCAAAAAATGAGAGGGAATGCACATAAAAGCGACACAGCGATTATAGGCAACAAACAAATAGAGAGAAATATGGGCTTTCCTCTCTTCGTCTCTGGGAAAAGTGGGCCAGTAAGAAAAGTAAGCGACAGCGACTGGGAACTTGGCCGATATTTACAGCTCTGGGATCTCACGCGATGACGAAATGCGGCACCCTCAGCCCACTACTCGTATACGTGCTGTGGGTTCCCTCTTGGCCACTCGCATCGGAGTATACAACCCGTTGCCGGCTTCGTTCGCGCGACTGTTGCTGCTCTGCCGAAGTCAGCGTCTGCGCCGGCGTCTGCGTCAGTGTCACACCTACTCACTGTGGAATACCCTACGAATTTCTGGTTAAACATGATTGGTTTTAAAAGGGAGTGAGGGAATAATACTTCGGAAAGAGAAAGTTTAGGACGAAGAGTTCCATGAACTTTGTGTAGAAGCACACTGGCATGTAAAATTAATAAAAAACCAGAACTGAAATGTTGTATTACTTACAGACGTTATTAAGAGACTGATAGCTATTTTAAAGACGATGGATCTTGGCTTTGGTATCAAGAAAACATTTTGGGGAGTTATTTTAACCATTAACCGACCTTTAACAATATTAGAATTTGTATTGTGAGGTTTCGATTAAAAAATAATAAAGCTTTATAAGCTTTTCGTAGAAGAGAGAGCATGGTGACATTGGCCACCCGAACTTCTTTCTTAACAGATTAGATAACCCCCATATCTAATATCTTTTTAATGAAAGATTCAAAATTCATTGTCTTTTAGTCTGAGTTAGTTACTTTAAAGTAACAGTTAAAATGAAAGTGCTCACATCGGCTTTTCTTTGCATTCTCTTGTTTCACAGACCAAAGCTCAGTGTAAGTCTTACAGGATAACTTAACTTCCAAAAAAGAAAATAATGATCAATGTGTGATTTAACCACTGATAGATATGAAATGCCATAGCGAAAAGAGGGGAGTTGGAAATTGTATGACTGTGGAAGAGTGTCCGATTTATTATTCTGGGCAGGCGAACCAATTTGCCGGTCCGCAGAAGGACCACTTCTTTTCTTTCGAATGTGAACCGCCTTTGGTGTGCTGCCTTAATCAAAAAGTAAGCGGCAGGATTATTAGTTTGCTACCTCAACCTCCCACCTGCGGTGGCTCCGATGCCAAGTATAAAGTTTTTGGTGGAGTGGAGACCGATCTCGATGAGTTTCCTTGGTTGGCAATGTTGGAGTACCAAAAACGGAATGTAAACTATCTGACCACCAACTGCGCTGGATCGCTCATCAACCACCGGTACGTCCTCACAGCTGCCCATTGTCTAAAAGGAAGGTATGTGGAGCGGATCGGAGAACTGTAAGTGTATACTAAATTTCAAGGTTTTTTTTAGTGTTTTTTCGATTTTTCGCAAACTTTTTCCAGTGCCTCTGTGAGATTGGGTGAGCATGACACCCGTACCGATGAGGATTGCTCCGGTCGTATGGGGAGTGCAGTCCAAAATTTCAGCGGTTGGGTTTTAAGGAGATCCGGGTACACGAAGGATTCCAAGGGATGTCGGCAGTAGTTTGCACGACATTGGCTTGATTCGCCTAGAACGGAATGTTGTCTATTCGCACAGCATTCGACCTATTTGCCTGCCCTCGACTGTGCCCTCGGCGGTGAGGTTTCCTGGTCGACCACTTACCGTAGCTGGATGGGGTACAACTTCATCCCTGGAACGTAGTCCCACCAAGCAAAAAGCGGAGCTTAACTATGTGAAAGCACTGAGTGTCGCGGATTCTGGCAGGCCTACATCCACCTGGAATCCACCCAACTATGTGCCGGTAAGATTCAGACGGACAGCTGCACAGGAGACTCCGGCGGACCTCTGATGCAGCTGCGTGATGGAATTTGGGTCCAGGAGGGCATTGTTTCCTTCGGCATCGGATGCGCCGTAAAGAATCGGCCCGGTGTCTACACAGATGTGGCCGCATACGACACCTGGATCAGGCAGAATGTTGTGGCCAGAGATGGGGATTACGTAGAACTCGTGGCGCCCCTCCGCGTAGTACCAATCAAATGTACGGCCTTAGAAAAAGATTCGAAGCAAGCGAGTTCGATTGAAGACCGCAATATACAGTGACAGATTTGAACATTAAAAAAATCGATGAAATTCACTGTCTACAGATTCTTCAAAAATTTGCTATATCATTTAAAACTTAAAAAAAATAGTATGTCGATAAATTAAAAATAAATGTGCTTTAATGTTAGAAAGATTTTTTAAGTGTGGGAAAAGTGGGAGGGCTTAATTTTTGAATCTTATTTAATTTAGGTATATTATGACACCAATAAAGGGGTTTGGGTCACCAATGTGGAGCAAAAATGGTTTTTTTTGGCCACCAATGTAAATTATTAGGGTACCCCAAAAATTACCCAATTCATATAGTTACCATCGGCATGAGGTGGTGTTTGGATCGTGAAAGTTGGGTCACCCTTAAATATACCGAGTAGGGTACTCCCCGTTCGCCTACATCCCACAGTTTTCCCTGAAAATGGTCGAGTCGCAAGGCGGCAGCATTGACTTTGAACCGAGAGTTGTTTGTGTAATGTTTACGGAATGTGTGAGCACAACAGAGAACGACAAACAGAGTGGGTGGAACAAGGGGTGGCGAGGGGGGTGCGGACGAACAGGCAAGGCAGAATGGTAGATAATAACTGTAGACGCAGCGAAGCGACAACAAATAAACTACAAATTGAATACTCCCCACCGCGGTCGACGTCGCAGTCGCCGTTGGCGTCGCTGCCGGCAATAGTTCTGGGTGCCACTAAGGCAGCGCGGTCGACGGCGACTGCGACGCAGGCAGCGCCCGCTCTTTGGGATGTAAAATGTCGACCGATTTCAGCGGGCTTCGTTAGTCACTTGAGTTCGTTCGCCTGGTCAACAACAGCGAAGAAAGCAAAGAGAGAGAAGCGCGAAGAATCCCGGCGTATCCGTATCCCGAGAGTCCCGACGATCCGATCCGTAGTTCCAAAGTTTCCGCCGCGGAACCGCGAGTCCCAGTAACCCAGAATCCCGAACCACATCAAAAGTAGGTTCCGTAAAAGTGATCAATAACTGTACAGCAACGGCATACCATATGGTTTTCTTTTAAGAGCTCTCTAAGAGACAGCATTTATAAAGCATAATAGTGATATCTTAGTAGTATTTCCTCAGACCACCTCTTTAAACACTAACTTTATTGAGTCAGTGTGTCATATGGTATTTCATTGAAGACTCTTTAAACTTTCGGAAACTAGTACTGTAGAGCATAATCTGCTACAAAGAAAGCCCATTAATCAGTCCACGCCCACTTCTAGTGCTATTTGATAGTATTCCCAATCCCAAATCCAATTCCCAGCTCCCACCCCTCTTCAAACACACTGCTCACATGCAAATTGTAACCCAATTGTTTGCTCATTTCTGTCATTACCAGCGTCGATTAGACGGAGTGAGTGGGGGGAGTTTGGTGGGAGTCAACAGAGCGAATAACATGCACACACCACCTCCCCCAGAACAACCTCCAGAAGAACCTCCCCCAGGTGTTAGCTCTAGGACTGTATACACATTATTATCCCTCACGATTTGATTGCCGCGACACGCGTTGACCCACATCAATAAACCGACCAAAACAGACTGACTAAACAAGTTGGACCCTCGAAGAAGGGGTCCCCAAAACCTAAACTCCCAATGGAGTCGTGAACTCCCACTAATTTACGAAAAGAAATAATAACTGCTCATAAACTACACTTAGTTTTGTTGAACTATTTAATAAATGTACGCAAACGAGGAGTTTCCAAGTTTTAACCACTTTAAAAACTTATCTATGTTTCCCTTTAAAAAAATGTTTTTAAAACCGGTGACCTCATACTTCCGGTATCAGCTAAGTTTTGCGGAATCTGTTATCGCTTTGTTTCGTCCTCAAAAAGTACTTGTTTCTAAAAAGTGGAATGTTGTTTTAACAATCTTTAGATCGAAACGCCTCAAAGTGTCAACCAAACTAAATATTATTATTCCATTCCTTTATCTGTTTATGCTAAAAATTGGTCACAGATGTTGCCACAATCTTTAGTACGCTATCCTAAGATCAATAAACAAACTGAAATAAAAAGAGGTTCTTAAAGCAACGTTCAAACTGTTAATTCTTTGGAATCCCTTATCGTCACCCTATACCGGGAACAAACAAAAATACCAGTTTAAAAAACTTTCAGATAACTACATATTTGAGCTATAAAAAATCGGAGAGAACTATATTTTTAAGCTATATAAAGTGTTTTAAAAATGAGTGTTGCTGGGGAACAATTAAAGATTGCCTTTTTTGCTAGACCTATCAAAACTAATCTAAAAGTAGAGCTCTTTAATTGTTTTAATGATTCTTAAATAATGTTCCCTGCGTATTTATTTATTTATTTATTCTTGTTCTTGTTTCTACTTATATATGATCATTCTTAATTTAGGTCTGGTTCTTTCCCGCAGTGTAACTGTAGTTTGCCAACGATCTGGTCTGAATTATCTTTAGATAGCGAGTGCCTTCAATTACCCCTCGACCATTAAAAGCTCCAATTAAAGGTGGCAGCCGGGCAACAAGTGGCGATACAATACTTGATCTCTTGCCGTTGCTCTATTAACTCGCAGTGCTGGGAAATCAGTGAGGTTTTCTTTTCTCTAGAACAATACGAAAAAGCTCCCTGCTGTCACACGGGGGCATGGAAAATTCCCAATAAAATTCGGCATTTCGGCATTAAAGTCTCTCGGTGGGTGACGATATAGGAAAATAGTTAGTGATACGACGACGTGCGAGCCATCATGCAATTAGCCATGTCTAAAAACGGGGAGCAGTACGGAAATCGGGAAAGGGGTCCGGAGAACCTCTGATGGGCGGTCAGCTTTATCGCAAAAAATGAAAACACTCCAGAGCGAATGGAGCGGAGAATGCCAATAAAATAGTGGTTAGGGGTACTAGGTATATGTTTATTATTATTTATTATTGGGCGAAATAGATTGTTTTTTTGCCTGTGCAGTGCGTTGCCAAGTTCCCAAGTTAGAAATTAAGCAGACGAGAGTAAAGTGGCTCTCTTTTTTTATGTGGAATTTAATTTATGCATGCTAAAGTTGCGTGCTCGTTGCCAATGAAAATGTTGATCAATTCTTGTGACAGCGTTCGTCAGTGGAAAGCCCCCTCTAAGATAGCACATAACCCTCGATTTATTTCTCCCTCATTCAAATTAGCGTGCGTGGCTACATTTTCTAATTAAAAGATGGGGCGTGTTTGGGAGCCCTCAGTGTGCCGAACCCCTCCGCGTCTGGTATATTATCAATATGTAAATTGATCAGACTCCCCCTGCAATCTTATCTCTATGGCAACTTACGTAAGGGAAGCATTCTTCGGCACCCCCATTACTCATGCCACTCGGAACACCTGGAGGGGTCAGACAGAAAGTGAATCACGAAAGCAATAACCGCACTTGGAGTATTTGCCGTGTCGATAGGGTCTTATCAATGCTCTTTACCCGAAAATTTTGAATGAATCAAGTGGGGGGGCTGGGGTTGGAGGTAGTATGGGCCGATTCCGAAAATGTGGGCCGAGTGTGCCAGGTGTGCAATGCTTATCAGCAAGGCAATAAGCCATCACACACGCACGAGAAATGGATCGACCATTCCCCTGGCCGAAAATTATAGGAAATGTTCTGCGGGGGCGTCGACTATACGACTATACTACCAGTATTTGGGGAGTCCAAAGGTATATTGGGTAGGAGTGTGACACGGTAAAATCAAAAGCTCACAATTTACGATTGCCATTCTCAGCTATCCAGCATATCACACCACACTTAAGAATTTCACAAAATTGTTTAATCAAAAAGAGTGAAATATTTTTAAAACTCGTAGCTAACGGAGTAAATAGAAATGTTACGATCTATACTTATGCAATTATTGTTTAAAATAGTAATTAAAAATGTTTTATTCAACACCTCATTGAAATCCAAATACCCCAACTTACAATGTTTATACTTTTTAATTTAATGGATAAATTGCATTCGTTTCTCCCCTTTAGAAAATCAGAAGTTTTGCTATGTTTGTTTTTTCAGCTGCCCAAGCTATTTAGATGTGTTTGAAAATCTATTCACGATTTTTTCACATCCCAAAAATATTTATAAATCTTTGGTAAATTAGTGATTGGTTTAACTTTTGGATATGCAATAAAAGTTACCTATTAAAAATAAAGTTAAAATAAAGTTAGATGAACCGAACATTATATGTTTATTATTCTTCTCTAAAACAAAATACTTAGTAAATTTACTATTTGCTTGGTTTTACATTCCTTCCTAGCAGCAGGACATCTTAGTCAAAATACCTCTACCATACAGACTAGTTCATATATTTTATTGGTAGATAGAGGATAGGGTGTTTAGATAACGAAACTATGAAGCAATCGTGCACATGAGATTTGGAATAGTCGAAAGCCCGGCAATTCCGAAGCCGAGTGACAGGGCAGAATCATATACCAAGAGCCTCGGTATCACTCTATACATCATGCAATTAGTTTGAGTTTTGACCCACCTGTATGGCTCTTGTTTTGCAGATCCACCTGTTAAACACCTGCCTATGACTCAGTGTTGTTGCTTCATTTCAACCATAATGATGTAGTGTAGCTCTATTTGTTTTCGCCAGATAGTGGCCAACTTGCAGATCGGTGATTGCAACATGGAACTCGGCAGGCGATAAGCCGCGATAAGGTCGACCCTGAATGTGGAGTTTATTCCACAAATAAACGGAATTCTGTTAATATCCAGAGCAAACCCTTTGGGTCTATAGGGGCTTAGGCTGGCAACAGTTTTCACACCAATTACAGTCGAAGCCCACTGAAAGGCCTGCTAATAGTGCACGGTTATAGCCATCCTAAACTTCAATTAGCGAGTCTCTGTGGATTTGCTTTGATAGCACAGCGAGAAAAGTTCTATTGTAGATGATGGGCTCTTGAAAGCAGTAACTAGCTTAACAGTCCACAGCCAATGTTTACAATATGAAAGGTTTATTAGCCTTTTATTGTTTGCCATGGCATTACTCATGGTTGGTTGGAGGTGGCTTCTTTGATCACCAGATTATAAATCATTAGTAGTGCTAAACCTTTTATATGAAAATACATGATATGAAGCCAAAGACAATTGTTTTTTGCGAACCCTTTGGAGACTTCCCCTAGTTTCTTATGTCACCTATTATACATATGAAATTCGTTACTTCAGTATACACTTAGTTGTACTTTCTAACGTTATATTTAAATGTTTAAATCAGTACAACCATGGATCATGACCCATGATCAATAGCAGTAATCACACTTAGTGGGTTAGTTTATTGCTAATGTAATTTTTGAAAAGCCTATAATGAATATAATGATTTCTTCTATGCAGGATGTGCCTTTCATCCCCGATTCCCGGCCAAAAACCGGCGCCTGCTGTGGGCCACTGCAACGGATCCTGCAGCCTGGACAGGAATGGCAATCGCAGCTCCCCGAGTGTCCCAAACGGAGGCGAGCTGAAGCACAGAAGCACCCATGCCACAGATGCTACATCACACACTCTAATCAAAGATGAGGACAATCTGGGTTACAAGGAGGAGAATGCAGTGTACAAGGAGAATGTCCTGGAAAAGCAGAAGCTATTGCTGGATCAGGAGCAGAAGGTGAAGGAACCGGAGGTAGAGGAGGAGGAGGAGTACCACCCACAGATCAGATGGCCCGATCTGGGGCCCAGGCCTTCCTGCACATCGGCGCCCTATATGGATTATACCAGCTCTTCTACGCCAACTTCTACACATTCCTTTGGGGTGAGTGTCCACTGTTTAGAATCCCCCTCCCCTGGGTAATTAACATCTGGGCAGCTAATGAGTTGCCGCCCCTGCTGCCACCTACTGGTCACCAATCTCTGTAATTGCATCTGCCAACATGCAAACAGTGTTCCAATAGTCGGGTATTAGCTATTTTGTAACCCAGTGCCATTCGCTGTTAACTGGGGCAGTTTAAATTAGCTGTCTATATTACAAATTCCCTGGGTGAGGTAATCATTGAGTTCTAAATGGAGATATAGGGGATAGATAAAGGGGAATAAGTGTAAATTAAAAGGCATTCAAATGTCTGAAGGAAGACATAATATCTCTGATAAGTAATCAGGAGTAAACGGTGATCGACCATCAGATACTGAAGTAGTATTAACCCAAAATGCATTTCAGTATTTAAAATTAAAAGTTAATAGGAAAACGCAATAAAACCTTTTATAAATTATTCAAAAATTCAAAACAAACAAGTCACTTAAGGAGTTCAAATAATAAAAACCTAATATGAGGAAAAGATCAAAATCTTCAGTGTTTTTGTCCAGATGACGCACGGCAGGGAAATCTAAATAAGTTAATATTATGCAATAGGTAAACAACCATCTCGTGAACTTTGACCGCTGGCAATTAAAGTTAACGAACGCTTCAATTGCTCGATATAATTCGGCTGGTGATCGAAATCGAAGCATAGGAAAGATTTCCGAGTGAGGAGGCGTCGAAATAGGCCACCCCGAAGAAAAGGGGGGAATATGTAGATATATTTAGAGCCCAGAGTTGTGTCATCCGTTGAGCAAATCAAGCGAGAAGCGTCACCAGCACACCAAACTATTCAGAGGGGTCGAGTGTATGTGGTATATATAGTATATGTATGCTTTGTTTGTTTGTTTAGACAATGACAACCATCTGTTCCTCGTGTTTTTTTCAGTGGTGGTCACCGTTTGGGTCTCCGGAATTGGAATCACGGCGGGAGCCCATCGGCTTTGGTCGCACAAGTCCTACACGGCCTCCCTACCACTGAGGATACTGCTGGCCTTTGCATTTTCGATTGCGGGGCAGGTTAGTACATTATAAAAATGATTAACTTCAAATTATATTTAACTGATCTATCAAATGCCCACAGAGAGATGCATATACGTGGGCCCTGGATCATAGGATACACCACAAGTTCTCGGAGACCGATGCCGATCCGCATAATGCGAAACGTGGCTTCTTCTTCGCCCACGTGGGCTGGCTCTTCCTGACTCCCCACCCCAAGGTCGTGGCCAAGAGGAAGGTCATCGACATGTCGGATCTGGAGGCGGATGCAGTCTGCATGTTCCAGCGGAAGTACTACATCCCGCTGTTCGCCCTCTGCTCCATCGTCCTGCCGGTGGCGGTGCCCTGGTACTTCTGGAACGAGGACCTCTGGATGTCCTTCTGGATCAACTTCAACATGCGCTTCACCTGGACCCTCAACGTGGCCTTCTTCGTGAACAGCGTGGCGCACATGTATGGCAACAAGCCGTACGACAAGTAAGAGAGACCAGTACCCAATATATATCAAGAAATTTAAGATAAAAAAAATATCTCTGTAAATATAGACTAATACTTAAAATGACCCTTTATCTTCCTTAATTTATTTAATATTTGTTTTTCCTTATGCATTGATTATTTTTATTCATTGTTTATCCATTATTTATAATCAAATGGGTTTAGTTCCAGTCTGTGAATGCTAGAAATAGGTTTATGAACAATAATTTAGCTTTAATTGGCTAATAACTCATTTTGATTTACTCTTTATAATGCGTATTTTTTCAAATACACATAAACATAAAAGTTTTTTGTTTTCCTTGCCAGAACAGAAAATCGAAATTAATTAATACAAAAAACTTTACAATTTGAATACATTTATTACTCAACAAAGTGAAAAAATAATAATAATATAATAAGGAGTTGCCGCTTATCTTAAGCATTTATTAATGGTATTGACATCCCTTCTCTTTTGTAATCCAGGAATCTTATGTCCACTGAGGCCCCCATTGTCTCCCTGCTGGCCATGGGAGAGGGATGGCACAACTACCACCACGTCTTCCCCTGGGATTACAAGACGGGGGAGTTCGGCAACTATAGCCTAATATCACCACCGGTTTCATCGACTTCTGTGCCTGGCTGGGCCTGGCCACAGGACGTAAGTTTACCCTAAATTACCCAATGAATTCCTACTAATAATCCCTTTCTATAGGTAAATCGGTATCCTCTGACATGGTGTTGAGAAGAGCCAGGAAGTGCGGCGATGGAACTCGCTTCCTAGACGACGACTTCGCCCACAAGGATCCGGTGTGGGGTTTTGGGGACAAGGACATTCCCCGCGAGGATATCGTGGAGCTGGCCAAGATGCAGAACTAAGCTCAGCCATGTATTATGTTTTCAGCCTGTGGTTTTCCTAGTATTAAGTTTGTAGCACCAAGCCATGCCTTTTGCCTCTGCTTAAAAGATCTAAGCTTTCATTTGAGGTTCTTCAGAGATTTCAAATGAAAGTTTATAACCTTTAAGCTAGGCATTTGACCCATCCCCCATCCCATCCCATCCCGGATCACTAGGATCGTCATATAGGGACGCTAATCTCCCATCGTTGCTTTCGTTACTTACCTGCGGGTCAATAAACTATGTTTTGTATTAAAAGGCGGCTCGACTCTGAACACCCTTGGGATTCTTGAGGCTTATGCATAGGCAATTGGTCAATGAATAATCGAATACCTTTCGCCTCATTGGGTTTGGTAATTATGGAGGGGTTTTAGTATAGCCAGAACTGCCGCAAGGGGCGGAACAAATTGGGATACAGGATAGAAAGTTGGAATTACCATGGTGGAAACTAAAATAAAGGACCAGGATTCTACTGGAGATTCTATCCTCAAGAAGCGCGATGCCATCTGGCCATTGGTTCTTTTTTATATCCATGTAAATATCCTCGGTATATATGGTATTTACATTCTGCTCACTAGTGCTTCGTGGGCCACAATTTTATTCAGTGAGTTCGTCGGGTTAATCAACTCCACGTACCGCATTTAAATAGAAATATCTATTCTTATTCTTGAAAATAGCTGCTCTATTAACTCTTCTTGGAATCTTGGGCGTGACAGTGGGAGTTCACCGCCTTTGGGCGCACAGGACCTTCACCGCCTCCAAACCCTTAAAGGTTTTCCTCATGTTCTGCCAGACGACAGCCGGTCAGGTGAGAAAACCCCTCTAAAGCTTTTACTTACTATGCCTCTGGTAAAAGCTCTAGCTTTGAGTTTTTACCTGAGACACAAACCCTATACATTAGGTTTGTTAATTTGGTGTTTCATTCCGGTTCAGGGCTCCATCTATAGTGTCGTTCAGGCCCATCGACTGCACCATGCCAAGTTCCAGCAGGACGAGGATCCCTACTACAGTAAACAAAACTTTATGTACGCCCAGGTGCGAGGGAGTCTACTAAAGTACTCTCCCCAGCAGGAGGAACTGCTCAAGGATGTGGATGTGTCGGATCTGGAAAGTGATCCCATTGTCATGTTCCAGAAGAGGTGGGTTAAAAGACCTTAGAGGTTTCTTATAGTTTATAAGATATTCCGAATAATTCTTTCTAATTTCCAATTGATTATGATATATTTCAAGGTTCTATGTCCTGCTGTACATTTTCCTCAATGTACTTCTCTCGGTAAACACACCGTTTCAGTACTTCGGAGACTCTTTGGCCACCTCCATGTTTGTGGGTTTCTGGTTGCGCAGTCTGATTGTTATAAACTTGGGGAACCTGGTCAACTCGTCCCACTTTATATGGAGCATCCACAAGGGCTTTAAGCCGACGGACTCGAATAGTATCTTTCTGATCACGAAGAGTTACTGGCCGCAGTATCATTACCTGTTGCCCAGGGACTACCAGAGCGGGGAGTTTGGAACTATGCTTCGGGAATAGGATCTGCCATGATACGGGTATTTGCAGCTCTTGATTGGGCAAAGGATCTAAGACCATTGGATCCGTGGCCGTGCGTCAGGGACTCACGAAGGCGGTGGAGACGGGTCGACCCATTGTGGAGTGCATCGAGGAACAGGTGGAGTTGGAGGAAAACGCCCTCCCGCCAACCATTTCCTCAACCGGGAGAAGTTTATGTGAGCATATTGCATCATCGCGGGGCACTAAAACGATGCGACAAATGGTCGCGACAGTCGTAAAAATAAATTAACCGCCATCGAGAAGGCGGGGTAGAGTAAACTGTGAGCCTAATTATTGGTCGGCATAAAAAACATGGTAAACAGAGGTGCAGTTCGAAAACTCCACGGCGTTTTCGTGGGCTGGAATGGAACTGGAAATGGAGATGGATATGGTAACCCTCCAAGTGGGCGTGCCTGGATGCACTTGGTGGGTCTTTATTGCCCAAGAGCAACAAACTAGATTACAAATCACAGATCGGCCTAATTATGCATACTCATTTACACAAAGGGAAATTCATTCGTCTAATAATATAGGTTTTTCATCAGATACGTAGGTGGTAAATAATTATTTTGATACATATTTTCCTTATGTGGGCTTAACTATTTTGTAGTAATTTCAACAAAAATAATAATGATATTTTGGATTCTGATTAAGAATATTTTTTTAGTTTATATACATAATACCCTTGAATGTAACTCTTGGGATCTCTGGGCTTGTTTTCTTTCTGTGCACTCCTCTAATTTCCGATTTCCAATCCAAGTTCGAGTTCGTCACCTTTACCTATTCCTCTTTCGGCTGTTTACAGATGCCAATTCATTTGGCAATCGGTTCGTTTGCTTTCCCATGCTCGAATCGGTTGGGTATCGGGATATGGCTATGGATGTATACATATATTAGTTTATTTTCGGCATCAGGTGCTTTGTGCCGGGTTTTTATGGGTTGCACCTAATGATTTTATTAGCCATACGCAATGTGTGTTCAGTGGCTGCGACGCTGATTGATTCGTCAATATTGACACCGCACTCAGTCAGTGGCTGCCCAGAAGCCTTTTCCAACTTATCCTCCTTTTTGCAGCCCATGTGTTTGCTCATTAAACTTGGTTTAAGCAAACTGAGCGCCTGACTTGGATCACATCGATCGATGCTAAAGAGCCTGGCCATTCTAATGTACACATTCTAATACCTATTCATAAAGCATAATCCACCTGGGTGTGAACATTCCACACTCAACGCAACTCCACTGACTCACATTTGAGTCGGCCACTTGTACCAATTCCTAATGACTCTGCACTGAAGTGATTACTAATGAATTTGCCTGCTAAAAGCTGGCACACTTAAAACATTTTATGACAAAAGTGCATGAAATTACAGGCATACGTGAGGTGTAGGGAAAATGATGGGAAAATGGAAAAAACATACCATAAAAGTAAAAAAGTTTCATTAGAATTAAAAAAAAGATTGTTAAATATAGTATAGACATTATAGGAAATACCCTAATCAATAGATTTGATTGTGATATATGTTTATGTTTTAAAATTGCCTTTACGGAATAGCCACTTGGGAATTTTAACAAAAATCTTTTGCAGAACTCCCCTTACATAGAGTTTTCTAGTGATTTCAGATAGTTTTCCGTTTCTATAAGATCTTTCTGAGTGTATCCCTATTCGCTTTTAGCTGTTTGCGCTGTGGCAGATTTAAGATCTGAGATCCGCTCCGCTCTGTGGCAAATTGCAGTCGCGTCGCGTTCTGCGCTTTGTTTAGTGTTAATTTGTTTTCCATAAACCGACTGAGCGACAGTTGAAGGTTGCACAAATACGTGGAGTACGCAAAATCGCTGTTGACTGGCTGGCTTATGCAACTCTATGGCTACCATAGGCCCCAAAAATATCCATTTTCGATTTGGCCAGGTGTGTGGATGCTGGGGGGTCAGCCCTGCTGAAAAACCTATCCATTCACGGCCTCATGGCTGCAAATTGAAATATCTTGCGCATGAATGGCTGTCTTTTGAGCCAAGAACAGAGGAACGGGAAGCGATTAGGCAAGGAAAGAGCACACACATATGTGCCTCATATTTATGGATATGTGAGTCCTGAACAATAGTGAGCTGGCTTTGTTCGGGGATTTTTTTTACATTTTTGGCCAGAACCCTCATATAAAACGCTGACAGTGCAAAAAGAGAAGCTGCGCAATATATCAAAGTGGTTTCCAATGATTTTGAGTAGTCTGCCTGCCCGTTTGTTTATAAACAAAGCGCAGGCAAAAGCAGACAATTTCCAAGCGTTTTTCTGATTTTCTGTGGCTTTGCATAATTGGCTAATGGGGCCTTACAACATCAGCACCTCATCAGCAGCAGCTTGCAGATTTACCATACCATACCATCCCGTCCACAGTGGGTCGAGATCAAAGGGTTCGGTCGCGTGACACCGTAAACGAACGTCCGCAGATTCGGATTTCGGCAATGGGTTCGGATGTTTTAGGGAGAGAAGAAGAGAAGCTGTAAACCCAGTTTTACGATGGGCTTCCTTAGCTCTGGGGTTTTATTTCGCCGCGGGTTCGCCGCTTTTGCTTTTGGATTTTAATTAAGTTCGGTTTCTGTTTCTGTCGCCTCGGTTACGTAAAGAGAAAGCAACTCTCGTCTTCTGCGTCTCCGGACTTCGGGAACTAAACTTCATGATCATCGAACGGCTTTTGACTTTGGTCAACACCACACACACACACTTTAAAACAGTGGAAGCCCAGTTAAAAGATGACGACTGGAATCGATATTTATAAATATATCTTGGGCTGGCAAAAGGAGAGATTGTCCGTATGCAAATGAGCAGCAGAATCGCAGAATCCAGCGACTGTGTTTAAAATAGAAATCGCTGGAAGGGAAAGGTCTCATTTAAATATTGTATCCCCCTTAAATCGAGAACCTAATGGGCATTTGGGTTTTGGGCCCTTGACAACAGAGATCAAGTGTGCGAATCTGTCATGGAGGAAGTTTGACTCTTTCAATTAGCATGCCGAAACATATTTTCTGATTTCCATTATCAAATGCAATTAGAATCGTCTGTGCTAGACTTGTAGACAGGTAATATCATTGGATCGTTCGTGAGTAATCGTGAAAAGTGCCGGCAGACTTCTTGTCGGTCTCTGAGTTTTATTTTTTTAAGCGGTCAGAGGGGCATAGCTTGGGTGCGAAAGAGACGTCTGGTCGAGCAGATAAGAATCGGGTTTTTGGAGCAGACCCTATGTTACTGTGTAATGTTTTATGGTCGAAACACTTCATTTAATATTGGTATCAAATATAGGTTTCGCTAAGATTTAACCTATACGATTTCTTGATTTTTTTTTAATTGATTGATTGATTTAAACATAAATATAAGATTATGAATATAAAGTTAAAGTTATAAATATATATATCATTTGCGTGAAAAAGTTCATGACCATATAATATAGCTTAGTTAAGATGGTTCAAAATGTCATCATCTAACAATAAGTGACTGCAATTACGAAGTGCCCTTTTCCTAACAGAAAACTATTGATATTTCAAAGCCAGCTCGCAGGTGAATGTGAATCTTTCCCAATTTGAAACACAAAGTCCCCAAAAACCTTTCTTCAGAGTCTTAAGTTTCCCGCGGAGACAAAGTTTGACCTACTGATGCATGACACCCAAAGACCCACACATTTGGCGTAATTCGAGGTAGCTTAAAACCTCGGAGCTGCTGACTGCGCTGCTGATTCTTCTCTGCGACGAAGCCGTTCCGATCCGAAGCGGAACACGAAGCTATATCCGAATGCGAAACTATATACGAAGCTCGAGCCGAAGCCGAACAGGTGCTTTCGGGCGTATGTGTGTGGTGGCATAATCTTGGCCTTCTTGGCCATTTCGTCTCTCCATTTCTTTTCTTTACCTTTGTGCGTCGGATCGGAAACTCCACTCCGTCAGTCAGTCGGTCAATCAGTCAACTTTGGTACTGCCTTTGCTTTTGGCTTTGGCTCGGTCGCCGCTGAAGTCGAAGTCGCTGCCGAAGCCGCAGCTCTGCCCAGGTGAGCCAGCCGCATAGGTAGGAATTTACACCTTTGGCTACGATCATTTGTCTACGGAACGGCGCCGCGTTGAGTTCGTTAGACGCGGAAAGGAAAGGAAGCCCCCATAAGTACCCCAAAGCCCTGAAAACCCCTTAAAACGAACCGCGTCCGCAGAAGTGACTGTGTGTCTTTTGGACGAAAGCCAAGCCAAACTCCACCTTTCCACCTACTTGGAAGCCAAGTACTCCGGCAATTTGAGTGTTAAGTTGTGAAGAAAGTTCGGCGAGTGTTTCGGAGCGGCAGTTACGAAACGCGGTTTCCGCCGGCGAACCCAAAAAAAGTACAAATAATATAAAAGCTTAAAATGGGTCATCTGTCCACCTCGGAGCGAGTGTGCAGCAAGACGCCGGCCATTTCGGGTGACTCCAGTCCCCCTCTCTTGGCCAGGAGATCGAAGTTGCCCAACGGGGATGCCCAGCAGCAGGTGCGCCGGGGCGAGGATTCCTCGCCAGAACTTCCGCCCCGTGGAAAGCTACAGCTGCCCCAGAAGAGGGAGGAACTCCCCCGGGCGGTGATCCCCCAGGAGATCGCCGATCATGTGCCAAAGGACGCCATCAACCTCGAGGAGTACACCCGCACCTTTGTCGGCGATCGCGTCCTCGGCTGGCAGTTCCACGCCCCCCTGAAGTGGGACAAAGTCATCCAGATCTCACTTCTGCACATCGTGGCCGGAATCTGCCTGCTGACCTATCCGCTGCGAAACCTCAATTTGTACACCACCATCTGGTGTAAGTATTGGATCTCTACTCCAAGCACCATCTAACCCATCCATATCCATTCCATTCCATACCATCTCATCACATCCCATCCGGCATTGCGTAATGCCCACTCTCTCTTTCTATCGCCTCGAATTTGGAAATGGTGGTCGGGGATAGGTGTAAAAAACAAAGAGTCATCTCTGATCGATTCTGTAAAGGGAAAAAAGTACACTTGAAGAAATCATTGGGGTCATGGATACACCTGTTGCATTTGGAAAAATATTAGCAGGTAGCTTCACAAAAAATATATTTAAAACAATTTCAACTGGATACGAAATTCTAATATATGTTTTTGTATATTTATGGTTTTGGTATTTTTTAGAAACCCAGAAGGTAGTGTTAAAAAAGAAATTAAATTTAGAAACGAAATAGACCAAATCAAGGTTTGATGAATTCTTGTAAGATCAAAATCATATAATACTTTTTTAAAATTGATATAGCTCTGCCTTGAAGATAAGTAATTTTCTTGATTGAACTTTTCTGTGATAGTATTACGTTTTTCTCCGAGTGTAGAGTGTTGTTGGTGTCGCTGATGATGTTGTCTTTACGGCATCCACTCCCCCGAAAAAAAAGTCTGTTGCCCCACCAATTATTTGCAATTTAGCGCGCCCAGCGCCTTAAGCCCTCGGCGTTTTCTTTCTCTGGGCCATTACAAAATGCGTCCCCTTGTTATTGCCTTTAATTGATTGCCGCTTAACACCTTGCCTCCCTGGCCTTTCCCCAATACCCTACTATTTTGCCCTTCAGCTTCTGCTTTTTGTTATACGACGTGTGTTGAAATCTCTTTCATTGGCTTCACTTTGGGTTTGGTTTGGGTTTGCTTTTGGGTTTTGAGTTTTCAGTTTTAGCTTTCGGCTTTCGGCTGGCATGCAATTTCAGTCTCAGCATAAAAATTGACTGACACAGGTGGATTGCAGAAAACAAAACCAAAACGTGTTGGTTTTGATATGCGGCCAAAAACAGAGGTTGCTAGAGGGAAAGAGAAACAAGAATCGCTTGACACAAATTTATTTGGGGCTTTGAAAGATCTACCCCACTGTCGTCGAACCTCGAAATATGGTAAACAAGGTTGAGCTAGAAATGTCTGGGATTTCAAGCCAATACATCAGCATTTTAGAGGTCTTAACTCCGAGATTTGTCACAAGAATGCATTGCTCGATTATTATGCAAACGGATTTTGGTTTCCAGGGAAGGTCAGAAATATCTGGATATGAATGCTCATAAGCTAGAATTCTAGGATTTTCTAGTCTGAACCTGACGCTCCAAAGCTTTGAAATATCTAAATAGTTACCAAGGTTAAGCAGAATCTTTGGATTATGTGCTTACATTTCTTATGGTTTCCGAGGTTGGGCTAGAAAATTTTAGGATATTCTGGTCTTTACTTGAATGCTTCACAGCACTTTAAGGTGATTTATTGCTCAGTAAACAAGATCACCATGGTTCCCAAGGTTTCGACTTGCATAGTACTTTACCATTTTAGATCTCATTTTACATGTCCCAAAGTCGAAGATTTCACAAGACAAAAGATGATTTATCTGTTCGTTAAACACTGACTCAATTTATGGGCACTACACATGCGAGTAGAAAAAAATCAGTTGACATTGAGACAGACTCCGAGGGGGAAATCAGTGGGGGGATCCTCCGTAACCGATTTCGTTTTCATCGGAATTACCAGGGGTACTTGGGCACTTCCCTCTTAATGGCTGTACAGCGAAAAATGCCTTAATACCTGGTAATTTTCAATATTTATTGCGCATTGTGTGGTATGACAGGTAAAAAAAGCAGAGGGACAAGGAGTATCCTTGCATGAAGCGAATCCCTTTTTGGGGCGTCGAGCTCGTAAATATTTTGGCAAATTGCCGGACGAACGTGCAGCGCCTAAAGATTGCTCCCTGGCATGCTGGGAATTATCATCTTTTGCCGGTTTTCGTAGATGGCGAAAATTGTCGTGCTCAGCCGAGATATTGATTAAATTCAACGGGCTGGAAGACAAAAAATATAGGGAGAAAACGCCGCCAAGGGGTCTTACATAAACGCATTAACATTGGGCGTTAATGAAGCTGGCCAAAAAACTAACATTTATATAAAAAGACAAGTCAACGCACCTTCTTCTGACTCAGGGACACTTGTTGTTTTTGCGAGTATCTGGGGATCACAAAGATATACGATAGTTATGCAGTTACAATTCAGCGATCTGCGATCACCTCAAATCTAATTTCAAACCATCTGAACCTGCACTTCTATTTTGCAATGGCCCAGTTGATGCATTTAGCAATCCGAAAAGCCATTCATTAGAGAATATTCATATTTAGAAACTATGTTAGATTTTTAAGATTAAACGAAGATATAGCCGGAGATTGTGAAATATGTATTTTTTTTATTATTTATGATACCCCTTAAGAGGTATTTTTTACGGTTCCTAAGGTACACCTTAAAATGTAACCCATTTGTGGTCATACCAATGTTGAATTTGATCATTTCCGCACTCTGCGTTGGCCTTTAATTGTTGATTTCGTTTTTTTGGTGAGACGGAACTGGTTTTTGTCGCAACATTGTGAAGGCTAATCTTTCTCCAATCGATAAAATTCCCATTCAGAGAAATCGTTAATAGTTCATTAGTTGGTTGCCGAAATGTGCGAGTTATGAGCACATTTCTGTAAGATCTCCCCATACCATGGATCGTTAGGTTAGGCGGAAAACCCTCTTTGGATCAAATAGTCATTACTTCTAATTGCATTTATGGCAATTATCCAATTCAATGGGAAGGTGACAATGGCATTTTGCATATTCTAATTGAGGAACTAATGGTGGAGATCGTCTGGAAGGGTTTGGCATATGATATTTCTGATGATTGTCGGAATCGTGATCATTCATTCACCGGATTTCTATGAAGTTCCCCCTCATCGGCAACCTTGTGTGATCTCGGTTCTCTTTTATACTCCATTTGTTTGTCGGGGGAATTAGCACCCAGCCTCAAACAGCTCAATTTGCGGAAATGTAATTTCGGGTTTTTCTTTTGGCATCCAATTAACACTGCGTTTGTCCGAAAACTTTATAGCCCACACTTACATCTATTTTTTATTATTAAATCTTCTAGCATTCTTCGTTGGTGGAGTGGCTGGATTCGGAGTTACCGCCGGAGCCCACAGATTCTGGACCCATCGGAGCTACAAGGCCAATGCCGTATTGCGATCCATTCTGATGGTCTGCTACTGCGTGGCCGGACAGGTGAGTTTTTTGGAAAAAAGATTGGGGATCCCTCGACCTTTAACACACGTAATGCCACCTGAAGACTTGTCCGCAATTTGCCAATTCACCACCTTCGGTTTTGTTCGTTTTTTGGGGGCTGTAATGCAATTAACATTAATTGCATCATTAAGTATAACAACTTAATGCCTGTCGCGACTGACAAACTGTAAAATTGACAATTCCAACTACTCGACAAAAGTGCTTTGTGTATCCCGCAGATACATTTGTCTTATTTAATGACTGCAGCGATTAAGCGCAGTCGCAGAAGCTTAGATGCGGAGATATATATGTACTATATGAATACATACTGAGCGACCTGGAGATTATGAGGAACAATCAAATTTGATGGCGTGCTAAATGAACCCCGCTGACCCGCCAAAGATTGTCACTTTTAGATACAGATACATTAAAACGTTTTTACGATCAGAGAGATATTGGTTTTAAATGTTTAAAATGTCTGGGAAATCTCTATTATTATTTATAAGGAAGTTCGTTATCTAATATACAATTACCCCTTTCAGAACACTCTTTATGACTGGGTTCGGGACCATCGAGTTCACCATAAATATTCAGAGACCGATGCGGATCCTCACAATGCCAACAGGGGATTCTTTTTCTCCCACGTGGGATGGCTGATGATGCTGAAACACCCTGAAGTTCTGCGTCGTGGTCGCCAGATCGACATGAGCGATATTTTGGCGGACCCCGTGGTCGGTTCCACCAGAAGTACTTCATCCCCCTGAAGACCTTCTTCTGCTTCATCTTGCCCACCGTGATCCCAGTCTATTTCTGGGGAGAATCCTGGACCCTCTCCTTCGTGCAGCAGTGCCTCTTCCGCTACGTGAGCAGCCTGAACTTCACCTGGTCCGTGAACAGTGCCGCCCATCTCTGGGGATCCCGCCCCTACGATAAGTAAGTTTTACGGGGTACCTATGTTATTAATTTGTCAACAAGATGCTGACGTTTGGAGCTTGAATGCGGTCACTTTCCCACTTTTCCCGCGTTGTATTGCTGCTTTTGTGGATTATTCTGATGACATAGCTGCGAATAATAAGTCTTACGTGTAAACACCTTTTAGACAAAAATATAATAAGAATGTGGTGTTATATATAAAAGACAAACAAGAACCACGGCCGAACAACATAAACTATTTCATTGTTTTGGTTTTGATGCCAATTTTTAAAGTAACCCGAAAATATTTGGTGTTATTAAATACAATTGGTTAGAAATATTTAATATTTATACTACAGTTAAATTTCCCTAACTTCAAGTTCCTATAAGTCGTATTTTATAAATCACACTCTCTATAACTCTAACTTTTTTGTTTAGAGATTTGAACGTTTAACTGAATGTGACCCTTAAGTAGTACTTTTGAGATAGTTTCCCAAGCTAACCGATATCCTACCATCTTTCTCCCAGGCGGATCATGCCCAGCGAGAACATCTACGTATCCCTACTGGCCATGGGTGAGGGTGGCACAACTACCACCACGTGTTCCCCTGGGACTACAAAGCAGCTGAGCTGGGCAACTACACCGTGAACTTCACCACCATGGTGCTGGATGCCTTCCATAAGCTGGGATGGGCCTGGAACATGAAGCAGCCCTCCAAGGAGCTGGTGCGTCGCACCCTGGAAAGTACGGCGACGGCACCCACGCCTCCCTGATGGGCGGTCCCGAGGAGTTCAAGGACGGAGTGGTGGCCGGAGCCACCATGGTGGGCCACGTGCACTACGCCGAGGTGCCGGACCCCGATCTGGAGTACGATGCCGAGTCCAGCAGCACGGAGAGCGCCAAGCTGGACGAGAACGAGAACGAGGGCGAGCGGATGAAGAAGTCCAAGTCCAAGGCGGCCAACTAGGGATCTCGGTGGTCGGGATACGGGATACGGGATACTGGCGTCCAGTCATCCCCAGGCATCCAGAGATCGAGATGGGCTCGCGGATCACTGATGATGGGTTAGGATCGTCACTTAATCTTGCGTCTATGCGAGGGCGGGACGTAGTCGATAATCGTTTTTTAAATTAAACCCTATTCTATTTTATCATTATCTATATATCCTCACACCAGATCAACACACCTGCACCGCAATGGTTAACACTCACACAAATCAAAAACACCCACATCCACTCATTTTCGTATCTTCATTTGTGTAGGTTTAGGTATTTAGCAGATAGCACGGTACGACATAAGTATAAGTCACACACAAAAATTTACTTATAAACGACAACAACAAAATATGCTCTCCTCCGAGACAAATAAAATGAAAATAAATATTTACAAATAAAAACAAATTAAAAATTTAAAAGAGAAGCGCATTTCAATTGGTCGATGATCGGGGGTCTCTAAAAAGTATGAAGGTGACTAATATCCACGCATATAATGTGAAGAAATCCCATTCACTTTGGTATGATCTGAAGATGTGATCTTGGAAATATTTCCAAACGTCTGGAAAAAAACTCCTTATGCAAATGAGCGACAAGTGCGAAAACTGTTTTTGAATTCATTTACCTGACATGAACACTTAACATCTATAATGTAAGGTGAATATTGCCTTAAAATTTTGGACTATAGGTTCTAGGAAGATCTGAAAGTTCTCTGGGGATACCATAATTGGTAAACAAGATGTGCGAAAACTGTTTCTGATTATACATTCTAAAGATTACCACAACCTTGCCTCTATCAACAATTGACGTCAATGTTTAAGTTGTGAAATATGAAAACAAACCCATTATGTGAGTTTTGCCTTATGATTGCTAGTGAGTCATAAAAAAAACTATAGCCACATGTTAAAATCGTTTACAAATAATTTTAAAGCCAAAATAGATCAAAGTCCAATGAGGTGTAAATATCTAGTTGAAATTAGAATTTATTTTCGTGTATAGTGGTTCTAGTTTTTCGAGTCAATTAAGTTGGACTTACAGATCTTACGACTTGCGAAACTTAGAGTGTTTGTAAGGCACTATTTGTTTATCTGTTTTCCTAGAAGTACAACTTGTCATAATAGAAAATTGACAATATCGCACAAAAGCATCTCAAGATTATAAAAGATAAATGTGCTAAAATAAATATGTACCAATATCAAAGGTTGCAAAAAGCGGTGATAACCAGTGCAGCAAAGAGACCACTTCAAATGTATCTTTACAATTATAACAGGTGATAATATCGCCCACTTTGAATCTCATTTTTAAATTATTCAGTTTAGATGCAAATTAAGGTAGCAAACCCACGAAGAAATTTCCCCTTTATCCACCCACTGAAACGAAACTATTTACTCACACTTAATGACAATTTGAGGCTGTGACGAAATGAAGACGCAAATAAAAATGAAAATGGGAAATGGAAACGCCTTTTGTCATTGTACAGACCACCATCTAAAATACTCTTATGAGGGAAGGGGGGAGGTGGGTTTTAGACGGGGTTAGTCGCTGTTTTTAGGCGCCAACTGGTTTCTCTTGACTTTGGACTACGTGACCAAAGAAGCATCTCATTGGGAGATCTAGAGATAGTTATATGGTTTGGTGGCAGGAACTGACGCAAGGAACTGCATTGGACTGTAATAGTTCCTTAGTCGATTAGCTTCCTCGGCTGCCCCTCGGTTCCTCCATTTGGACAGGCCTACGTGCAGTTGGCACGTACACCAAATACCGAACTTAAACTCAATCTCAAGAACGAGAACCTTGAAAAGGTTCAAGCCAGCAGACATTCAAGGGGAATTCCTGGAGCATCGCCCTTTTTAGCATGGGTCTCCCGTCTCAAGTGGATGGGAGTTCCCGATCGTCAGAAAACTTCATTACTTCTGCCCACTTTGTTTTTATGACTTGTATACTTACAGAGGGAAATATGATACTTTATGAATATTTATAAACAATTATCTGTTATGTATAGTATATAAGTATAGGTTTTATAAGGACAGATTTTGTTAAAATACATATAGATTTTGGAATTCATCTTCAAGTAATCTCCTGATATATTACAGTTTTTGTTTCTGTGTACCCAACCTGTGCGGCAATTGTTGGGAAGGTCAAGTGCTTTGCCAATATCAACAATCCAAGCAATATCCAAAAAATGCCACGCCAAGACCCTATCGTGTTGTCGTCATCTCATTAGCGTTTTCTGTGTGGCTGGGCTGTCATCGTCACCTAATTGGTGACGAGCCAGTGGTCACCAAACGAGCACTCAATTTAGACCATTTTTGTGGGCCTAGTTAATTGAAGGTTGAGTCAGAGGGGCTGGATCGGAATTGCATCAAGCCATTGGTGGCCACCCAATGGAAAAGATGAATGAAAGGGTGAACAAATCTCACCTAGGCCTCATAAATGAATTTATTTGTTCAGGAAGTCGCTCTTTTTTTTGATTACGTCGATTCGGACAGAACTTTGCTACTTTTTATAAATTGTCAGTGCTTAAAAAATTTTAGATTCCTTTAAAGCAACTATAAAAAAAATACTCTACAAGCTATATCTTGGATTGTACTTGATAGTTGGTTGATTGGATGGAAACGCCGAACGAATTTGTCCAACAAAACCAGATGGTCAATAAGGAATTACGTTCAGATCGTTTCAGATTAGCATATACCTACAGAATCATAAAAAATCATTCGATTTCAAGAAATAATGAAAACGTTTCTAGGAGTAACATTAACTAAAATTCTTCTTTATAACGCTCCCCCTAAAGCCTAAAACGTGCTTCCTTACTTTCAGTTAAGATTCAAATTCACATAACTTTTTAGTTGGTTAGCATTCGACTTATATGATTAATATTTCTGGTTTTCTATTTTTAGCTTCATTAATTAGTAGTTTTCTGGTTTCGAGAGGGAGATAATCAAAAGAATATCGTACCATCGTGACCGTTGGGTCCCTTTGGGATAAACAAAAATGGCCCTTCCCTGAACTTTGCTTTGTCAAGAGATTTATGCGAAATATATTAGATTTCTTTTCCCCATTTCGGCTCGGCAAAGCGTCCAAATTTGGTAAGCAAATGATAGGCCTATGAATTTGCATAACATTTCAGTGCGGGCTGGATTATGGGTATTTCGGCAGATCAGGTCCGCCTCCGGTCGAAAAAAGGGCCTTGATCGCCGCACGAGAGTTGTGTGGGTGGTCCTCCTCCGGCGGTGTCTTCTGTGACAGGTCCGAAGATCGGACTGTCTTTCTCCGGGGAAATAAATAAAATAAATACCCGCCACAATTGCTCGTAAAGCGTTTAATTACACGCGGGAAAAAGGTTGCAGCGGTCGTAAAGCAATCAAGATAGCGGTCGTTTAATGACGTGACCGGGCGACAATTTCCAATTCCTAAGCGCTGCCCAGCAAACCGTTAATAACCTTGTGATCCGGAGTCCGGAGTTTCGAAGTGACGAAAACCCCAAGACCCGCGACGAGGGGCCCGAAATTTGCGTAACTTTTGCGAATGGAAACAGAAAGCTCCGGCGCCGGCACTCCGATTTCCCTTCGCAAGATCCAAGATTCACTATCCACTATCCACGATCCACGGCTAATTGGAAGCCGATGCGATGACATCGAAGACCTGTACCTATACACCCCTGATCATCGGCGATGTGCAGCCTCTCTTTCGGAACTGGTATCCACAAGACAGCCATCTATGATATGAGTTTGAGTGTCTGTCTATGCAATTGCCGATTTTGAAAGGGCACCTTTATTTTGATGTATTTTGTAACCTGTGTGCGTGCTTTCGGGCTTTCAAGTTTTTGGTTTTTCTCGGTGGTCCACGGTCTCCATTCCCGATCTCTGTCCATCATTAGCTCTTGATGTTTAGCTCAGCATTTGATTTATTTGCGTTTTTCGGCCCATTGGGCGTTTGGCTTTGAAATTGATTTCTTCGATTGCGGAGAAAAGAAACCGCTTTGTGGTTCCATTTTTATTGTCCCACCAGCGGCTTTTGCAATGTGTTGAAACCCGTTTTAAAAATTCGTCAAAGACAATGCGAGCAGCCACAAAAAAAGCGCTAAAACATACAAAACATATTTAGTTCAAACGTCTTGTGACTTGCACAAAATGTTTTGAATAAGTGAGACATCGGGCATATAGGGTAGAGTATCTCCACAGCCATATTTGTATATTCGCCCGTTCATGGTGCCGTTGTAGATCCGACGAACGGAGCCAAAGCGACTGGTTTTGGGGCTTCACGTGCTCGTACTTCTGCCGCGATTATGGATGCATTCTGCAAATCATTTTCATTTTCCACGGCAACAACAGGCAGTTGCGAAAACCCTTTACCTGTCCGTCAAAAATAGCAGTTACACGGGCAAAAATCTCTGATCTCTGTAGGGATAGATTTAAAACATATCATGCAAAAAACATTCCACTTAATATTACTATCTGCGGATAAACATGCAAAATAGGCCATAAAATCATGATAAAATCAAATTTTAAGTGCTTATAAATTGGAAAAATATACATATTTGATCTTATCCAATGTTTATCATTTGAGGTTTTTGGGATTGTTATGTGGTCCTCGAAACATATGGTTTTAAAAGGGATTTTATAACAGAGCGTTCTGCTTTAAAATTTCTTGAAAATAGGATTGCTCACAGGGTTCTTGGATTCTAGAACCTATTTTTAGAAAAATCAACAGGTTGGAACTGGATTTTCGATTATAATTTGGTAACAAGAGGTTTTAAAAACTATTTTATAATAATCTTATGCTTTTTCCCGGTGTAATACCTCCTAGCCTGCACCACCCGCTCGACATTGAGTCAGTCAGTTTATCAGTTCGTGGGACTGGCTAAAACCTCCGAGTTGCCGCAACCACTTTGACATTTGTCCCCCTTTGTCAGCAGTGGTCACTGGGCAATGGACACCGGACAGGGACAACAGCAAAAGACAGGGCTTGCGCAATTTTGGGGCCAGTTTTTCTCGC